TCATGTAAAAGAGGAAGAYGTTTTCTAGTCAAGAATAAAAATTATATTAATTTCTATATTTTGTACCATGTAAGAAACATTGCTAGTATATCAATTAATATGATAGCACTATGTCCACCGAAGGCTGAAATTTTGATGAGATCTTTAATTTTAATTTTCCCTYTTCCATTTAAGAAATCTACATGTGTGAGTTTGAGGAAAGTAATAAAATGTTCTAAACCAACCTTTAAAAAAAATGGTAAGGTATAAATAGTCTGCCAGCATATTTTCCATTCTAACCCAGCTATAGCAAATGAACTAATTGTTGGGTAATTTAATCAGATGGCTTGCTGATAAAATTTGAGCAAAGACTTGATGTCCAGCACCTGACAAATTGATATGGGTTTTTCTGATATGAGAAATCTGTCCAGATGGCCCTAGAATGAAGGATAACATTCAAAATGTTGTTCCCAGAGAACTGGCCAGCTGTATCTAACATGAAAATGCTTCTGTGAATTTTTTAAAAAAGAATTAAGTATAATGGAGAATACTGAAGAGAGCATTTAAATGCAATCCACTCACAATTTATAGTAATTGACTCTGTTGGCAGGAATTGCCTGAAATTAGGCTTTAACGGGCACAACTGTTAACACATCAATCTCAGACAAACTACATCTAGAACTAAGATGCTAACTTTTTGAAAATTGCGCTAATTTTCCCTAGCACATTTCCTGATATTATTTAGAAATAATTTCCAAAGAAGTCTTACCCTTATTATTCTGCTGATAAACATCTGCAGGTACTTTAAATCTGCTTAAACACACAGAAATATAGTCAAGGCTTAGAAGCTGTGAGCAGAAACCCAAACATCAGCTTTTGTAGCAAAAAGACATTTTTGGATGAGCATTTTGTAACAGGCTTACAGAAGGGATGAAAAAATGGAACAAGTCTCACATGTTGGAAGCAGCATGACGTTTTATATTCCTATGAAGCTTTTATGTTTCACATTAGCATCTTCCTGGAGTTCACCCATACCCTTCATAGCAGAATTTTGTCCTGCCATCTGACAAAATTGTACTCAATCCAAGATTATGATCTTTCACATCTGCCAAGGGCTGAAAGTGTAGCCAGAGAGAAAGAGCTGAATCCTTGAACTTCCCACCACAACAAAAARGCAAATTTAACAGGGCCCTGAGGAAGACCCATTAAACCTTCATCACATATCCATCAAAAAGGTGATCATAATTTGGACTCTCAAGGCTGGAATGGTACTAAARAATATATAAATACAACAATTTTGAGGACTTTCATCAAGACAGACAGAATTCAACAAGCAGGGAAGAAGGAATGTCATTTTTGATGATGATTTTGCCGACATTTGGAAGACGAAAAAATTATTGAGACATACTAAAAGAATCACATATAATATCAAAACACACATCTATTATTTCTTWGAATACTGGATTCATTCTATCACAAGTAAAAGCTGTTTGAAAGTTTTCTGTGGTCTAAGCATTCATACAGTGATTAGATTTCTCTCCTTGCAATCTTCAAGGCCAGATCAGGACACTTGTTGATTTTAAAATATTTATTCAATTTGATTTGTAGAAACAAATTGAAAACAGACTAAAGGATATCAAGAGCTGCTTATAAGAACAATTTTTAAAAAACAAGCTGAAAAGCTAACAAAGAAACCACTATTATCTACAATATCAGCCCTATTGATTTTAGTGCCATTCTTCCCTGTTTATATAAATGTGTATATTACTAGCCTAATTCATTTACACATAGCATGAGAAAACACCATCCAAAATTACAAATTTTTAGAGTATCAGTAATTAAATCAGATGCCACCAAATCAGTTTTGTTTATGCTTTTCTTCACTTATATTTCTTCATGAAACTTTTTTTTTAAACAAAATTGTTTTTTTAAAACTRATGTGATGTGGTTTTACTGTGAGATGGTGCATGGGACAAATATACTAGACAGTGTTTTCAGTGCAGGAAAGCACTGAAATGCTAGGAAAAGATTGGTGACTATATCAGTGGATTTGGCTGATAATGAGAACATTCTTCTGCAGGGAGATGTTTCCTAATAGTAACTTGTATTTCCCAATCCTTATGTATGGTCTACCACTTTGGAAAAAAAAGTGTTTTCCTCTGTATGGCAATGAGAGTATTAAACCATAGGGAGGGAAGTAAAACAGGAAAGAAGGAATCATTCAAGACTTTTCCAAGTCCTGGAAGTTTTTCAGGATTTTCACAGGTGGARGAGAAAATGAGAAAATAAAAATTTTAAAATAATTTAAAGCTTAATTATTTAAATGGATTTCTTTAAAATTCTGCTTCTCTATCCCTTCCCCATCTTACRGAGATGCAGATATCCTCCATATGGTACATGATAGCATACCAGGAAACTGTCTTCAAATAAGTTTGGAATAGTAATTAAACAGAAGGTACAGTGTTTTTTAATCTTGTAACAATTTCTTTATGTGTTAGGTGTGTGATAGCCTGGGGTTTATGATAAAGGATCAGAYTGGCATGTGTTGGAGGGAGGTTTGGAAGATAGACTAAGAAACAAAATAACAGGAATACAGGAACAGTCTTTGACTTCTTCCCAGCACCTGTCAAAAGATTTCCGAAGAAAACATGGAAATGTCATTTCTGCACGCTTTAGCAGCTGTGTGTATATGATGTTTTAAGACTCTGCTCTCTACAGTGGTTTTGTTTTTGCCAGCCAAAAATGTAGCTGGCAGTCAGAGAAAATTCAGACAACTGCAKGATTTTAATTAAATCGTTTGATAAAGCTAATGGCTATTTTTTTAATAAAGYGTTCTAAAGTTTTAAGAAAATTCAATAGGTTCCTGAACAGCTACTATGGAAAATTTGGAGGCCAAATAAATCAATAAGCTAGAAGTTAAAGGGATTTTARTCCTGCCTTAAATGAAAAATCTTAGCACAGTGTGAGTTACACAGTTTGTATAGAAAGTGTCAGCAATATTGRTCTCCAGTGCACATACTATCCCACGTGAATATCACTGACATACTTTAAAGAACTGCTGATAGGATGAAATACCCCTAGCACAGAGAAGGTGCACTTTTTACAAAGTTACAATGATTTTAAGCAAATAATTGCTATGCCTATGACTGCCAAATATTCTTATAATGACCTTGCTTTAGAGAATAAAAAACGAGCCCTCATACAGCCTTGATTCTAGAATGGCTGATCTGTGACTGTCTCAATAAGTAATAATAACACTAGTCACATCTCAATAAGGAGTAATATGAAGACACTTCCAGCATGATACTTCTGCATTGRTTTGCTAACTGTGAGGTTTATCTACAGAGGCAGTGCAGCAAATTGAGAAATAACTGCCTTATTTATATGAATACGGTGCATAGTTATGTGTATGCTTTTAATGTCTTATTTTTGTGAGAGGGAAGATAAAAACACGCTGCTAAAGGAARCATCAGAAGTGGCAAAACAATGACAAAGCCACTGAGAAGATAAAGGGGAAGGTAGCCTCTGTGGGCTGTCTCATTTCTCCCTCTCAAGGTCAAGATGAGAAGACAGARACATGTACTCACTCCAGAGGACCTGAAACATAAAAAGACTCACATTGACCTCAGCTAACTTTATACTCTCAACTGAAGTATCTAAGTAATACTATCTTTTCCTTATTTGGGGGGACACACATCTTCAAAAAGCAGTTTCACCTGCCCAAGATCTGCACTGTTTTCTACATGCAGCTGTTTCTCATCAAAATAAATAATCTATTCAGTTTACTAATCTCACACTCACTAATCTACTTCAGCTAGTGAGATAACAGGCTATGCTATGAAATTTGGGACGAAATAGGATGACAAAAGCAAAGACCTAGACACAAAAGAAGCAGAAACTACTGAAAACCAATTGACTTCTCACCAATTGACATCTCCAGAAATTGAGGCAAATATACTCTGAAATATGTGCAAACATGAAAGTAAGGCTACAATCACACAGAATCGTCAAAAATAGAGAAGCATATTTCAATGTTTTTTCACCATCTGGTTTGTAATGTCTCTAGCTTAAAGTTTGTCTTCATGAGAAAAACTGGAAAGGAGAGAGCTATGTGGGCGAGCCCATGTTGCTAATGCAGCTGTGAAATGAGGGCCCACTGCTCTATCAAAGGAAAGGCAGAAAGCTGAAAGAGTTGGCAAGGGACAAGAAGTTATCCAAGGCACACACCTTCTGCCTCATAAACATGGCAGACAGCAATTCCAAAGCATTTCTGCAGAGTTTATTCTCAATGTCAAGTGTATCTGCACTTAAGAAAGCTTAGTGCTGAGCTAGTACAAAGCAGAGTAGCTTTGCTGCTTGTAAATGAGCTGTGTCATCTCACACAGCTGACTGTCTGCGTGTCCTAACAATTACATTTACAACTGAATGTCTAGCTATAAGTTGCAGCAATTTCCCTCCCAGCTTCTGATTCTCTTTCTTTTATGGTGGTCTGAGCCCATCCTGTAAATTAAACATCCTCATTAATGCGTATTAAATTAACTCATGAGCAGAGTTCAAACAGAAAAGAGGCTTATGCACACCAGGAAAAGGATGCAGAAAACAGCATAAATATCTGCAATTGTCAGTGAATTCGGTAGTAAGTAGAGAGGGGTCAAAATAGATGTCCCTACTGGCTGCTGACCTAATCTTTTTACCAGAAAGCCTCCTAAGGAACCAAATTGTATTTCATCACTATGTTGAATTCTCATAACATATTCTTTAGGCTGAGTGCAGAAGTGCTTCATTTTTGATGTAGATCTGTCTCTTTCAATTACCAATGCAGACTACAAAACATTTTAGCAATGTCACATGTCAATTTAGCTTGCTGAGTTATCCTAATTGGCTCTTTCTTTAACTTCAGTGATGACAGGAAAAAGATGTTCTTAGCAGCCATAAATGCTTATTCCTTAGCACTACTAAAGCATCTAGCCAGCCCTTAGGTTGAATGTAGATGGAGGAGGTTTGGTGTTGATGTATAATACCTGTTTTTAATGTGCTGGGGAGAACCAAGGCACTTGAAAGCTCCATTGACCATGATAGCAAGCCGTGTGCAGAGAGCTTCACATTCTTCCATGCTACAAAATAAAGCAAAATAAATTAATAAATAATAGTGAAAAGAGAGAACATTGTTTACACCTATCTTTAGTTAAAGTATACCAACACACACATATATATAAATTTATATACACATACATCTATATTTATATATACCTATATAAGTATCCACTTAGTTAAAGTGGAAGGAATCTGAAGTGTTGCAAAAACAGGTACAGAAAACCTTTGACTTTAAAGGGTAGCCCATATACCAAAAATTATTATCACATGACAGATAGAAGAGAGCCTTAAACCATTAGTTTTATTTTTATTTCCTAGATAATTGGACCATTCTGGTCAGAATATAAAGTTATCATTACCACAGGCAAATGTCTCATAAGCAGTCTCAGAAATTCCACTGAGTGCAAGAGCCATGAACTCTGTTATTCCTTTTAATACCTGTTTATGGTTATTCTGAGCTACAGTATAAAGGAAGAGCAATGAAGTAAGATTGCTCAGCTTGCCTTTTGCATACCATTGAAAAAGAGTTACCCTCAGCCTGATTGCAGGATAGTAGAAGATCCAAAACACTACATTTCAAACAGAATTTAGGACTTGAAAATGCAGCTGAATAGAAAAGCTGGGTTCTCCTAGGTGTGACWGCTTCAGATAATAAATAATAGCTTTGGCTTGTAAAGCTTAAGGCCAATAGGCTTCTACGCTTCGTATTATACAGAGTTGTATGAGTAGCTCTTCCAAAGAAGCACTTTAGACATAGGGAATCAGTCAGGACATCACCTAAAAGAGGAGTCAAAGATATTCCTACAATTCACGGGGTGCTCTCCCCAACCCTACGGAGACAACTAAACAAGAGATGTCTTGTGTGCCCCAGCCACAAGACCAAATCAAAGTGCTTTGACTGAATGAGCATTGCCAATTAAATATCACCCCAGGAAAAATTTCCTTAAATTATGACAGGGCTGTGGTGACAACCGCCAAACTGCTGTGTCTGAGAGTGATGGAGAGAGGGCTAACACGACTTCCCACAGATCAAGACATTCATTGAGTAACTCCTAATGCTCCCCTCGGCATAGCACTCCCGAGCTGAGCCAAAATAACACAAATTTAGGGYTCTAGTTGATAAAGCCTCACTCCTCTCCCATTAAAACAGAAGTTTTATATCTGAAATGTAAGTAAAAAATTGTGAAAAGTCCTCAAAACCTGATTTTTACACCACAAACCGTCTTTATACCTTACACGTATATTTGCTAACATGTATGAATATGTAAAATTCCTGTACTTACACAAGTAAACAATCTCAACTAAAGCCCAAATGTCCCTCAAAAAGAGTATTAATAGTATAAAATTATTTCTCCTTCCTTCATCTTGGCACAAAAATGTGAGCACTGTCACCACACTTATATCTGCTTCAGTTGTGGAACTAAATGTGTAGTTAGTACACTTTGATATATTTTGGTTGTGTTTGTTTGTTTACAGCATTTTAGTAATGAGACCACAGGTCTCTTCTGTTTAGCTGATGTTTGACAACTAAAGGTTCTTAATCTGGACTGAAAACTCCAAGCACACTGTTTCCTGAAAATCACTGAGCTGAATTCACAATGCATAAGCCATGCTCCCAAAATGAATCTGTTGGTAAGCATTTGGCCATCAAACACAGGTATGTGATTTTCAAAATTAAGCTTTCATAAATGAAACAGTAGAATTTTTTTTAGCATTTTTCCATCAATCATGTACTGGGACAATAAATACTTTTTATGGATATCTAAAAAAAAGTTTTAAATAGAAAACATTGAGGGAAGTTTTGTCACATTCCTTTATTAATTCATCTATGCTTCAAATCTCATTTGGCCAAATATTTCATTGCTGTTTTGATTTTTGAGTTTTAGCCTCTCTGGACATGTTTTCATGATCTCTACCTCATTTAAAGACATTTCATACATAATTATACATACTACATATATATATATATAACCTATGGGAAAATTTCATTTTTTCCATTTCACTGTAGATGTAACAAAACAGTATTGATGTTTCTTCCAKTAAACCAATATACCAGAGACCATATCAGAGAACTGACAAGATATTTAATGTAGATGGACTCTTCTAAGAGGGTGGGATCACTCCTACCATTTCCAGTAGTGCACAAGAGAATAGCTGACACATTCATCTTCGGCATGCCATGGCACTCTTTTCACACACTGATGCAAAGCAGAAACTTAATAAAATCAGAAGGTTTTTCACTCACACCTCCCATTGTAAAGATTTTTAAGGTGGGAAACTGCAAAAGATAACCTGATGTTCCAAGCAAGAAGGGGCACTACAACTGAATAAAACTACTGAATAAAAAGAGCATAGAAAAAGAAGAATCAATTACATCATTTTTTCTGTCTCTGCAGCCCCTTGAGCAACATTCTATTCTTTAAAAATTAAACATGAAAAATGTTTCGAATTTATACAGGTTCCTTTTTCATGGATAGGATAGAGTTGCCATAAAATGTCAAGACTTATTCTGTGTTTCACACCGGAGTGAGCATGTTTTCAGAATGTACTCTTCTGTAAGACAGGAAYATGCTGGCTGCTGGGATAAGGGTCTTACCTGTGGGATGTCAGCACAGCTGCACAGCCATCCTGAACTTCCTTTAGGATGGTTTTCCAAAGGTAGCGTTTAGAGCAGGGATCCATCCCAGAGCTGGGCTCATCCTGCAGGAAAAAAATCAAACTAATGACACAGCACCACGGGAAAAGCATACCACAGCTTCTGCCCAGCATGAAGAGCTAACAGAATTCACAATGAAATAATATATTTTTCTCTTTAAATGTTACATTTTCAGGTCACTTATRTGACACCCTGATTGGTGTTTTGCTTTAACACATACAGTTCAATGTCTAAATTTAAGGAAGGCACATTTTAGTAAAGAAGTATGTATACAAAAACAATGTTTAAATATCATCTAAATATCAATGTTTAAATATCATACATCAATGTGTATTTATAAATGTTTATTATGTATTTAAACAATATTTTATATATGCGTACCTTTACCTATTTATTATAATACATCTGTTTTATAATCTATCTATTTATCCTCTTTTTGATAGGAGACACAGCAGGTGGATTTTTTCACTCTCTGGGAAGGTTTGGTGATTGTTTCTGATCTGCATGCACACCTGCCACAAGCACAAACAAGTGGAGAGGTCCTGTAGCTCCCAGGTGCCAACACTGCCCATCCAATATCCAGGTGTTTGGTAAAATGTTTGGATTTAATGTTCTATACCAGTTACTCCCACAGTCTCTTTGAGGGAATTTTAGCCACAAATGAGAGAATCCACAGGATTAAATAACCTTCACTCAGTGCAAACCATCTGACAATCCCATTTCCCACTCAGATGGCTTTCGTGGAGAATGATGGGCTGCTACAAAATCTGCATTCCCCCTTCTTATCTATTCCTCCTTTCCTCACTACACCAAATTTTTGCTTCATCCACTCATGGAAGCAAAAAGAATTATATCTGATTGAGAAATCCAGTATCTGTCACTACAAAACTAGGAAGAAGGGAACTTTTCCAGTGGCTTTTTATCCAGTGGAAATCCATGAGGGTTGTCAGCATCAGTTAGAGCGGAATGGCCTTGGCCAGAGTATTTTCAGCAAGGAATCCCAGCTGAAAATTGGAAGCAAAGTTTTTCAAGAAWCAAAGCAAACAAAATATCCAGTTTGATGCTGATTTTAGTGCTTCAYTATCCATGTCAGAGGTGAAAAAATTCAGTTCAGTCTCCCATTATCTGTGGATTGCTAACAAAAAAAACATAAAAAACAATAAACATAAAGCAACCCACAATCTTGCTCAAATTAATAGCTATGATCCTGGATGCAATTTAGAAGCAGATTCAGTAGTTTATATTGGTGTCTTTGCTTTCAGACAAAATAATAATTTTTTTTTTAAGTGCCTTTTAAAATACTGAAAAACTCCTTTAAAATCTGCTAGCTTTTTAAAGAGAGCCAAATGTTTTAAAGAATTTGACATGCTTAGATATTTCTCTTTCCTCTTGTTCCTTCTATGTGCAATAGTCTGTGCCCGCCAGCAAGAAGCAGGCTGAAATGGATACTTGCAGCACTACACTGTCAAAAAGACATTCAAAAACAGTTGGAGCATTTCCTAGAACTGAGAAAAAGCACTGATTTAAGATGATCTTTTCTTCTTACTAGCTGAACCAGGGTCAGTTTAAGCATAAAATGAAAATAAAACATTTCAGCTTAGAAGTGAAGCAATGATAAGCAGTTAGAAGCAGCAAAATGTGTCTAAACTTGTGAAACACAAACCCCAGAGAGCATCAGTTTTACCTGGTTTATCTGACTCAGCCTGTGATCTCTTACTGGAAGCCCTGGTTTCTCCCTCAACTCTGAGGAACARCTTTTCTACCCCTGACTGTTCTGAAAAGTTTATTCCACTGTTGAACTGGTTTAGCTCTTCCCAGCCAAGTTTCAAGAAACAGATGTTCAATATTCTCGAATGAAACAATAAGCAGTGACATGAAAGAGAGATTATTGTGTCTTAATGATGCAGTTCTGAGAGCTTTGTAGTTCCCTGTAAATCCATGTTGATCTCCAATATAAAAGGCATTGTTTTAACTGGAGAGACCAGTTTCAGGCCCAAACCAGCAGCAGAACGCAAGCAACAAAACAACATAGGATAAGTATTTCAAATTAATGTAATTAATAAGTATTACTTGGTTGTGTGACTTGTGAATCCAACAAAAACGTAAGAASTAGCCCGATTTCTGAAACAAATACAACCCAACAAGAATTAGGAGTACCCTGAAACAATTAAATTGGGTCAATTAAATGTGTATTTRGGCCATAGAATGCTACAATTGTATTTGTATTTAGGATAGGGTCTTTTTTTCTGCTCACCCAATTGCTCCAAGGATGGAAAAAAAAATGAAAAAAAAAATCACTTTCTATTTTTGTAAGCACTGAAGAATAAAATTAAASCCATTTATATAGCAAAACAAAAAGGCCAGTTGTACATCTGTGTATCAATTACTCCCTGAATGATCAGGAAACTATCTGAGTTTGTTTAGAGCCACATACCAGACAACAAAATTCAATGCAACCCATTTATCATAAGCACAGCAGTACTTTTACTCACCAGCAGAAGGATTTGAGGTTTACCAACTAAAGCCACAGCAGTAGAGAGCTTCCTCTTTGTGCCTGCGCTGTAGGTTCTCACCAGTTTGTCAGCATGAGCSTTGAGGTGTAACCGGTTAACAAGGTCCTCTGACACCTGTGGTTTGCAAATTTGAAAGCAACAAAGATGAGCCGGATTAGGTAGCATTTGTGCGTAGGTTGAAACAACAATCTGTTCGTGAATATCAAGCAATTATACATATTGTTTCCTTATTTATCCCCACTACCTGCATACTATTGATTTTGAATCTTRGAAATAAACAAAAAGCTGCTCTGGGACCCCTTAGTTCTTCCAAAATTATACAGATTTTTTTTCATACAGAAAATCTGGCATTGTCACTGCTTAGCACAGCCATTAGTATTCGGTTTGTGTCCATGGGTCAATGGTCTAAAACGTCTCTCATTTCAGCTTATTCTCTGTTATTTATTTGATCAAATATCTTAGTAACTGAAAATTCAAGAGAAAGAATTCTCCATCGGCCACACAAAAGAAAAGGATGAAAATGYCAGAAAGGCAAGTCACAAACGCAGATTTAAAGTTTTTAAAGACAAAAGGTAACAGGGTTAAATTAATATAGCTTTGTAAGAACTGAGAGGGGTAAATTGACCCTAGCTGAATTGGGTTTAATTGCTCAAACAAGAATGTATGATCTGAGCAAGCTGGGAAGGCATGTAAGCACAGCTGGAGACAATGTTCCTGCTGTCCCCTATGGCCTTTCTTCTTTACCCTGTCAGAGAAAGCCCTGACATACAAGTCTCCCTCAAATACTGGTGCTGGAGAATATTAAATGTAGCAGTAATTTTAATCCATCTAAATCAGCTATTACTGCYGGACCATCCAAGGATATGTCATTCAAAACTATGAGGGACATAGCAGCAACTTTTCTGCTTGCTACTGCCAAATGCACCCTGAAAAGCAGCAGGTGTTTGGTCTAGGCTCCTATGGGGGGGCTGTATCATCAAGGAGTGATCAAATTTGTCACAAAGTAAATGTGTCTTCAACCTGTGTGTACGACAGCTGGAAGACTTTTGTAAAACAAGGAGTTACATGGTGATCTTATCGCCCAGTATTAACTCCCAGAGCACCCCTAGCTGTATGGCTCATTTGCTTTGCTTCCTCTGCATTACCTTCAGCAAAAGGCAAGGAAGGACTGGAAAGCTTAGTCATATCTGATGGACAGTCTCCCAATAATTCAAAAATTCAATAGGAAAAAAAATCCAATAAACAATGTGGTGAATTAATTTTCACTATCCCTCACAGACAAACTGCCACAAGCATAATATTCCTTTTTATAACGGACCTTTATGCAAACACCTTTGGAAATTATCAAGATATTCATGACCCTTTTAGCAAAATTTTTTAAGTGATACTTATAAAAGAGACATTGCTGAGAGCAAATTGTCTGTAAGCAGGAACAATCCTGCAGTGGTGAGAATCTACAGCATTCTGGTTACAATCCTGGCACTGGTATTCATAGTCATTTGTGTCTGGGGTACCTGCATGTATAACCCAACAGCAATGCATGTTCTCATTTTAAAAACCACATTTCAGAAATACTCCTCTGTCTACATTAGATGCAGAGAGTTTTTTTTTTAAAAAAACTCATCATCAACAACTGTTAAACTACTCACAGGTAATTTTATATTGAAAAGTTAAAGTCTTCTGCAATATCAAAGTCAATTCAGGGTAATTTACTGCCAATTAGAGATTATTGCTGTGGCTTTGAAAATGGTTAATCACCTAAGCTATATTCTAAGATACAATARCTGAGCTTTGTTTTGCTATGTGGTTTTTTTCACTTCAAAATATAGGTCTTTTTATACACCAAAGTAACACACAAAGTGAAGTTCTTTAAAGCATATAGTTGACAGCTTATTCTGTCTACAAAACWGGCTTGACTGTTACCACTGGGAATGCATGAATATAGTGACTRCAGGATTATTCCCCTACACATCCACCAACAATCACATAAATTACACAGAAAAGCTCATAAAAATTTAAGACCAATGTCAGAGACTGAAATAGTTCATGCCTCAAACACTGATGTAAAAATTTTCCCATTATAACAAAAACGGTATAAAGAAGCTACAGCCAAAGAATCCTCCCTGAAGATACCTTACTGGGATTTTGGACTGTAAATTGAGCTGTYGAGATAAGATGCTATTGTTCAATCATCTCAGCCTAGGGAGAAACAAACAAGGCTGAGGGAAAGGAATGCATCCACAAGAAAGATTCTTCCCTGCTAGATTTGGGATGGGGGAGACCACAGCYTACAGAAGCCAYACAGACTGCTCCCCACTGAAACAGGGATCAGGGAAAGGAGGCTTGGGGTGTGATGTTTGGTCAGAGGCAAGGAACACCCCTCCTSTCTTCAAAGACTGGCCCAGCTCTGGAACCCCCAACCCCACCGGCCACATCCACAGCACACTGACCCAAAGCTGAGGGGGTGTCATATCCATCAAAGRCCCCCAAAGTGCTCCTCAGAGGCCTTCCACCACAGGATCACACGTGATGCAGGTCCACAGTCTGGTGCAGGAGACTGTCCCCTCCCCTGGGGGGACATGCCTGGACATTGCCACCTGGCCTGAGCGTTWTTAACCCATGSGATTCTGTGCTTTCCAGGGGRACCATCACCACCAGGARGAGCAGCTGGAGAGGATCAACGCAACATCYTTGGGATCCATGGATGATGATATTTTCTTTTTCTGTCTCTGTCATTCTGTCACCCCCACCTCTTTTCCTACTTCTCCCTTTCTCTCTTTTCCTCTCTCTCTCACATGTTTATTATCAAATAATATCCCTACTATTCACTGGMATATGGTCTTGTYTGCACCTTAGTTTGAGCAGAGGCATTTCTAACAACCTTARTAACAGATCATGACAACCAGAAAGTGAAAAACATGTAATCTCATATTTACACCAAACTTTACCTATATTTTAAACTACCATAAGCTTCAAGAGTTATTAAAAAATAAGCAAAAAAAGACTATGCATCACAGCTTAAATGTAGTCAAAACTAYTCTTTAGGTATGACTAGAACTAGTGTTTCTAAGACTGCTTTGAAGTGTCATTTAAAGTCAGMAAAATGCCATTCTTTTAAAGAGGCAATGAATACTGCATGGGGAAGAATTCAGAAGGTGAAGGAATAGTGCCAGAGAGGGAAGAGATCATTCAAGTTAGCTGGGTGTTCTTGTAGTCTGCAGCCCTCAAGGAGACTCAATCATGTTAGATATGAACATAAACCTCTTTCTAGGTCGCAATATGAAAAAGAACTAATTTTGAAAGATTTGCAATTCCACACATAGAATTCTCTCTGGTGTGCRCTCAAGCACTCAGCATGACTAGAACATCTCCTGTTTCATGCAAGGAGGTAAAGCCTGGCAAGCCTCCTGCTGTAGAAATTTTTCAATACAATGTTGAAAAGGTAAACAGGTAAAAAGAGAGAGGTGGGAATAATTTCATAGCATCCACTTTTTTGCTGGTTTAAATGTGTAGAGTTTCCAAGATAAACCTTGTAGATCACCACAATCACAACATAACCTGGCCTGGTATCTAGAAATACTTCTTTGGTGCAAAACATACCAAATTAGAACTGATTTGTAGGKGAACCACATTCACAACATAAAGGCAGAAGAAAGGGCCAACTTTCTTATTCCTAAATATTTCCCAGTTGCACCTAAAAGCCTCCTACTCCTGCTAACTTCATAGACTCTTACATTTYGAAAGAGCACTGCAGACTATGGTTCAGTAACTATAAGAATATACAGCTCAATCTTCTTTCAAGAGATTACCCAAAATTTGCATACCATAAGACTTCCAGTAATATCTCAGCTTCATAAAAAATAACTAAACAACAACAAAACAGTAATTTAAATTAAATTAGAAATATTACATATTAGGTGTATATTACATATTAGCTATATTGTACAGGAGCCTGAATATCTCCTTTATAATTTCATTTATCTGTACAGCCAGTGTACCATAGTATACTGTACATAGTATACAGTATACTATGGTTTGTACCATAGTATACTGTACATAGTATACAGTATACTATGGTTTGTACCATAGTATACTGTGAAATAAATATGAAAATCCCTCTTGAACTACTTTAAATGCAAGTCAGAATTGAACATGTGACCAGTCTTCAGATACAGATACACATATCCATGCCAGAGAATTACAGTCCTAATGGTTTCCTTTCTGTAGTGAATGTGATATATATATATATATACATATATATATATATATATATATATATATATACACCTTCTCTCCCTGTTATTGAAATGGTCAAAATGACATTTCAGTTCCTTTCAGCACGGAAGAGTGAGGAAATACATGGATTTGTTTAGCAAGTTGGTAACATTGAGGCCAAATTAGAAGATATAGTTATATGCAAATATATACATTGTAAGCACACTTGGACCAATAAAATATTTAATGTCTCTTCAAGGCTGTAATAAGGTATTTAAACTGTTTCATTCCTTCCTTCCCAAACTGGCAGTCAAAATTATAACAGACTTCACATCTATCAGGAAATTCTATTTTCAAATATTATTTWAAACTACTGTTTATCTCATCAATTCTAACATACTTAGCAAAAGATTTGTCCCTATGTTAATTTGGGCTAGTTCACCTAGCTTTGGAAAAGGCAATGGAATGAGCCATTCAATCTGTAGCATCTAAACAAAATCCTCCAATATTTTGTGGAGTTGACTTTTCAGTTGGTGAGTCTTCAAGAAAAACTTGGAGTTAGTGAAGACTCAATCTATTCAAAGACCAGAAATAACATATCTATCCTGACTTGAAAGGCTGTATTCATCAGTGTATTAGTTTTGCATCATTTCTGACACACTAAATACATTACTTCTTGCTATTTATTTAGACTAATCTTTATAAAGCAAATCTGACCCAATACTGAAAATGTGTATCATACCCAGTATATATGATAATAAACAGGGATTGAATTCCAGAGTCATCTAAAAAATAACTATACATGTCCAAAGCAGTAATTCAAAGTGTCAGGTTCTGAGTCAGTAAATGCAGTGTAGTTTGAACATCTTAAAAAGCAATCATTCATCAATTTCACACCAAAAAAATATTTATCTGGCTTCCAAGTAAACTCAGAATTGTCAGATTTCTTACATTTGGAAAGTGTATASCCATGGTCAAATTGCTGGGGGACAATATTTTTATCCCTAAATCTCATAAAACTGTACACACTAATTGTGTTTGGGATCCAAGAAGAAAAGTAAACATAAATGAACTTACAGACTCCTTATTCCCAGCACTTATGAAATATAACATGTAAGGAAATCATTGAGATTCTAGAATCAGATCAAAAATCTTCCTGGAGAGTTAATGTAAAGAGAAAGCATACTGCCATTCCAAAAATTTGCCCCAGAAGAACTGACAAAGCTTCTTTTGAGATTTGCAACAGAATTTTTAATGCTAGTGAGGGATGACATTTTGTGCTCTGCTAATAAATCTAAACTTTTAACAAGCTAAATGCTGTATTTTTGGAACAAATTGAGATCTAGGAAGTTGATATATTAGAGAAATAAAAATAAAAATTAATAGTACTATGCTAAATCAAAATATGTCTAAATAATCCAAAAGCTCTACCCTAATTTTTCCAATTTTGCAGCAAAAAGAAACTTTCAGAGCAGATTTGTGAAGTATAACAAAACTTCACATTACATGYGAAGCTTAACATTGATGGTAAATGACCCATTTTTCTCCTCCTTTCCCATTCATTTAATTACTGTTTTGGAACATTAAGTGCACTCAACTTTATGTCAGGCACTTAACTCCTGCTGCTGATAAATCTGTCTAGCAAAGGATTTGGTCCTTGAAGTCAGTGTTTCAATAGACAATTTCAGCAGCAACACAACCTATGAGTCACCTGCCTGCTCACCAATTTCTTAAAGAGCAAGTGAATGTATGTTTTTTTCCTTAACAAACCAATGTATGCTCTAAAATATATGTGTCTGTGCATTTTAGTGTAAACAGTCACTGGTAAATATTCAGAGGCAGGCTTGGAGTGCTGTATCGTAGACAGGAGGAAATGATGAGAAAATAACAGCTTACGTTTCCATACAGCTGCTCCTCTAAAGCATTCCAAAGCCTTATTTTCTTTATAAGCAGCTAAAATGCTCACTTTCTCCAGGCACCAGCCATTTCTGACTGGCAGCACAGCAGCTGTTGAGCACTTGACAGCAGCGCCACACAGTCGGAAGGGCCTACTGACTAAAACACTTGTTTTCCTCTGAGATAGCTGCATTTCAGCTTTTGATGGAGGRAAACCAGAGCAGATAAATATTATTTGCAGGAGCGCTTTGATGCCTTCATCGCAAGCATATGGCAACAAAGTCTGYTCTGCAATCTATATAGACAAAAAAKTAGGATGACTGAAAGRAGCAAAGATCTCTTTTTCACAAAYGTGATATTAAGGCATAGAAGGCTGACTATAAAGAATARTCTAAACGTATACCTAGATTATCTGAGGTGCAGGAAGGTTAACATTAGTCTTCTYTCAGTGCACCACACTAACATATCTAAATTAATGATTTTCATCCATGTGAAGAGGGACATGCATGTGATTCACCACACCACTTGAGGAACCCTTCGCCAAATGGTCTTGAGAACAGATATTGCAGTAGCTGTCTATTAATGGCCCACAGAATAGCTGGATCTGAACTTGAAGTGGAAGCTCTTAGATATGCCAATTATTCCTAATACTTCTGCATTGAAATGGAATTTGCTAATGTCAGGTATTTCACAGAAAGCACTATTCTCAATGTCTATAGAGAAACCGTCTAAAGTCAGTTTACTCTCCTGGCCTCTCACTGAATGCAGACAGGAGATGGCATTTGCAGTGGCATTCATTTACATACACACAAACAAGGGGACAACCTGAAAGCACAGAACAGAAATCTGTTGGCACCATCCTGCATTTCACTACTTAGAAACCTTCCCAGGTTCTTGTAAACCTGAGTAAAGCTTGGTGCCACATGGGACTGCTTGCTATGAAATCCAATCACATAACGCACATCACAGATCTCTCTATTCTCAAGCACAGCACTAAAAACCCTACTCAGCTCTCCCTCAAAGACAACTCTGTTGGAAAACCATGGAAAATATTAGTAGGAAAAGCTTAAAAGCCATGTTTAGAGCATTTTAAGAGCACTGGTGCATAATTAAACAGCACAACGTTGATTCCTATTTTGAATTACACCAAGGACCAAAAGCAGTTGATAACATATGTAAGATGTACAGTATTCTTTTGAATGACTCCAAAACTCTAAGGGAGATGTTATGAATATCATGTCAATTAATGCACCATGAGAATAGGTGCTAGTGATGACAAACTTTTAACCTAAACTTTTAACCTGCTATGGAGGAGCTGCCAGTCCGTGGAGAAAACAGGTAATTACAATTGAGGGCTTTTGTGCAATAACAACCATCCCTTCATATACTTAATTTGGATTGAGGGAAACATATTCAAGTTTTCAGTATTCTGCTAACAGTATGAAGTAAAAACTAACCCCAAGAACTTATGGAGGGCAAACAATCAAACAAAAGACTGTAGGATAATTTCTAAGCACTCTGCAAGAAACGTRTTGTTAAAATAGTTAAAAGTCCAGGCTTTGTCTGGGACAACGGATACTGCCTAAGACAAGGGGCAAAGACTTGCCAGAATTGCTTATTATTCCCAGGCTCTCACCCAAATGATCAGCTTAAGAGAGAAAAATTTCAAAATATTGCCTGTCCTGATGAATACTCAATGCCCCTTACAGAAATCATACCCTTTCCTGAAATAGCACCCATCTGTTGATGAAAAAGAAAACAGGCTGCAGAGAACCAGAAAGCAACCATCTCACATACAATCAAGGAACTGGTTGCAAAACACTTATCAGACCCTGAGGCAACAGCCAGAAAAACGCTGAGTAGCAGAAAAAAAAATTCAGATAATACAGTTTTGCTTCTGGAAAAATGAAAGGAAGACAGCAGGCAGCATTCTAGAGGTTACGAGGGCAGTGCTAGAGCAATAGCTACTACTTGGGACCAATCTATACAGCAGGAATTGACAGCTACCAATTTCATATCACACTACAGTTTTCCCACAATAATAGTTAATAAAGATGCAATTAAGCAGAAAAGACTGAGCTGCTCAAGTCAGGTCATATAATAAAATTCCATCTGCTGATACAGAAAACCCCCATATTTTACACTTTATCCATTTCATACTTAATTTTTGCTGCTTGTCTGACTGGTTGACTCATTATGGAAAAAGGAGTTTATTCTGCTGATCAGAACAGCTACACCTGTATGTGTAAATCCAAAAGCTCCCTCTGATATTCCCACATATTGTCAACTTCTATGCTAGTAAGCTCTCAAAGCATTTTCTGATGTGGCTTTCACATCTTTTCCTTGGACAWCCTCAGGCCTTGTACAGCAGCTGGAGCATTCCAGGGACTGCTCCCAGCATGCAGCTTGAATGCAGCCACTSTCTTGTGAAGTTTAACACAGCAGAGAGCTGACAGCTCCTATCCCAGCCCCCAGGTGTTTTGTTTGTTTATACAGAATCATACAAAAATTTTTAGTTCCTTCAGAGTTTAATCATATCTCTAAAAAGCGTTTCAGAGGCACATCGCTCAAAATATGTTGTGTTCTGTCTCAATTCTTTAAGTGCGATAGTGAAGTCATTGAACCATTAATAAATTTAATTTCCTTTAGGGTTTTTGTGCCCAAGATTTCATTTGCAATAATGTTATTTTATTATCTGCAGTGGTCTTATTGTGTTTTGAACTGGTATAAGAGGCAGAAAAAAATCTACATTATTTGAAAAAAAAAATAGTGGTAATGAAAAACCTTATTACTAAAGTTGTTAAGATGAAATATTAGTTAGTTGCTCATGTTAAAATGGTACAATTTTTCTATAACTCTACAGTTCAACATGGTAATAGTTCCCTCTGCAAATGTGTTTCAGACAGTTACCTTATGGATGTCCTSCTTTGGAATTCCACGTAATGTGCAGTAATAATAAAGATGCTCCCAGCCTGTTAAAAGTTCATCAAGGGCATCTTGCTGTGGACAATATCCAATGAGAATACCTTCAGAGCTAGCAGACAGKATATCCATTTCAGACCTGTTTAAAGACAAAGATTTGAATGTTGCTTAACAWGTCCCATGGCCCTGGGATACAAGACAAAAACACATAGCCTCAAGCCTGCAGGTAAAACAATTTAAATTAACACACACACTGTCACAACAGTTGGTGGCTGTGCTAACCAAAAGGTACAAAAAGTGTGCATTTTGTGTGGGTCAAGGTCAACAGACCAATGCAGGAGGACAACAGGTCCATGAGAGTTCATGCTCACCAGAAGYTTCCTTCTCTTATCTCTTTGGTAGTACCTGCTCTAAGGAGACACATTTCAAACCATACAATGCTCATATTGGATATCATACTATATCCAATATTATAGTCATATCCATCATGCTGAATATTGAAGAGGCAGGACTTGGAGGKAAATGGTGCTGTGCGTTCTTTGTGTATCTATGCCCACACGTACACATGCCTGCATTCTCCAAATATCAAGAGTAAAGGAAAACACAGGATATTAAAGCCTAGTAACTTAAAAGACAATACAGGAAAAAGTATAAAATTATCCTGATTTTGGATACTTTGGCCTTCACTTTGTAGCTCTACAGCATTACTTGAAATTACATTCATTGCTAAGAAGCAAGCTTGATTGCAAGGGTGTCTCATTACCCATAATGACACTAAATCTATCCTATTTATTCCAACATCTAATTCAACAYTCAATGATGCTGATTTACATGTACAGAAAGACCTGTCAAAATGAAGATACTTAATAGTAAAAAAATCTGAGCCTTGAAAGAAAAAAAGTTTTCAAAAGATTCTGAGTAACAGAAYGTTTTTCCTCTTAGTGGTTTTCTACATTTTTGATTAAAAGAACTAAATATATGATTAATCATTTAGACACAAAGTAAATGCATTAACTGCAGGATCTACAAATACCAGCACTAGTGAAAATATAAATATGTATCTCCTGTTAATAAGATTCAGGAGTCTGGAGAGAAAAAAAAATCTGCATTTTACATAATGAACCACAGCATCAAAATATATTTAAATGCTATCAAAAGATAAACTAACATGATTAAGACAAACCTGCTGTGGACTAATCAGAATGGTCTTTTGCTTKTAATGGCAAAGATATAAAATCATCATATCTTGATTGGTTTAGATGGTTCCACAGAAGTTAATTGCCTGTAGAAAATTCTCTAAACAAAGAGTTAGCAAAAAATAGAAGGATGACAGTAGAAAGAGGATACCAGAAGTGTACTTCCTCATTAATTTATATCCACTTGTATGATATTTTAAATGAAGTATATACAGAGACTTTACTGGCTCCATTTCCAGTCATACCTATGGCAAATTAAATGCTTTTCCTATGGTCATCTTCACCATAAGATACGATTGATTAATGCTGATCTTTTTGCATAACCAATCAGAAGCAGTGGATTCCTTATTTAATTAATTCTAAAACAGTAAAATACTATTCACAGTGAGGTGTTATCTAGATTCTGTTGAACAGACAGATGTGTCTGAGATTTGTTTTGCTTCAAAGGCTCATACACAAGATTTTCTTTTGGTACAGCTGCTGTCTTTTGAGAAACAAGAGACTGCTTGGTAATATGCCAAGCTCAGTCACAAGAGAACAAATCCCACAGGGAAATTTCAGGGACATTTACTCAGCATGATCCCCGTAGTTTGATAGAAACATCTTGTCTGGAATGGGTCCCTATCATGAAGGAAAAAATAGTTAAATATGGACAGCTGCAAAAAAAAACCAACAAAAATCTAATGTTCTTTAGTTAGAACTATATTATAGCATCATTACTATGTTTGCATCAGGAAATAAAAAATGTCCCTGGTGCTAATTGCACATACAGGGATCTAGTGCTGTGTCCACGTAAAACATCCAGTCCTAGGTGAACAGTATCCCACCCATTGACCTTTAGCTTTCATAAAGTGAGGGCACAATGAGAATGCATCATTTAATATTCTTGCTTAGTTTGGTCCTATCTTGCAACTTTATCCATTAGTGCTGACCTTGAACACTTCAAGAATTCCCATTAACTCAGATATTCTACCATATTCACTCAAGAACTCATGGACCTTTTCACCCTGCTCTCCCTCCCATCTTTTTATCTGTCAAATCAAAAAGAATCCAACCAGAAGAAAAAAAAATAGGATTCTAGTCTTTTTTTCAGATTTTTTCTTTTTAATGCACAGTATAATCCTTGTTCTTCCCTCTGCAATATGACCAAGTCAATTTATAAATCAAAACTCTGGACATTATCCTTCACTTTTTTTTAGCAAGGTCCCAGGGTTTTTCTGAAGATATAAACAAYGTATATCAAGAATAGATGAAAGAAAATGCACACATATTTAATTATATTACGTATTGTACAAAAGAAAACAAGCTATCATAGGAAATTGATTTTCCTTGAAATTCAGTTAATCTCTCAGATTTAATTTTTATGGGTCTCAATTAAGTAAACATTTCTAGCCATGGCATGATACCAGAAAATCTTTTCAGCAAATGATATACTGTAGATGTTTTTCCTTTTTCAAATTTCTGATTCCATTCATTAAGCTAATTATAATCCTCTTCTTCCTTAACGAACATCATCATATATGTTATTATCAGCATCAAACTAGAAATATACTTTTTAATATTTTCTGAAATATAGATCAGCATGCAGCAAAATGCTGGGTTTTTTTCTCAAGCGAGARAAAAACAGCTGTTTGTTTTCAGCCCCATTATTATCAGCATGCCAGAATTTTTTATTAGACTATTCACATTAAAAGCAAGACATATAGGAAGAAAATATCAGCTCATTTTATAAATAGTAGACACAATRAAATCTAGTGTAAGAGCTAAAAACTATACAGAGCAAAACAGGCCTTTACACTAATAAATAACTTCTGTATCCTTATGAAAACACTGAGCAATTGCCATCTTTAAATTCTGTTAGTAATTTTGGTTACATCATCTGATCAAGTTAAGATACAGAACATATTYTCTCCTTCATTTTTCTCCTTCTCTAAATATCAATAAATATCTCCTTCATTTTTAGACTACTTCCTTACATTCAGTCAATACTTCCCCTTGCTAGTTAAGTTTTCCTTTAAAGTGAACAGCTGCAACAAATGACATCATCGGAATATTTCCAGAAATCTTTATATTTTAAATATAGTTTTAAAGTTGCAGAATTGCATTTCTAGAACTCTGTTGGAAATGGTCAACAGAACATCTGGCATCCTCAAGAAAAATAGCATAGTCTAGCACTTGAAGCATGGAAGATTTTGTATTCCATCCCTGTCTAAGTACTTTGGTGAGAATCATGATATTTTGGTTCAAGACATCCTGAGAAAACATCCAGGACTCAATAAGACTTAGGGCCTCAGTTTGGAGAGCTCATCTCACAGTTTTGTACTATTGAGGAAAGAAACTTGCCAGACTTTCAAGATACTGGGTAATTCACAGTAAATTCTGGTAAATTCATAGTACATTAAATTTTTGATTCAAAGTTGCTCCTCCACTGATCATTTCAARGCTTTTTATGTTAGTCTATTTATTCTGTGTGCTTAAAGAAATCCCTGTCATCTGATTACAGCCCTGAAAGTTATATGGGAGTGGCATGGGGCACGCCAGTCAGGAAGCCTTTGCTGATACTGAAAAAATTTTAATCAGTGGGATGAGTGAATATGACTGGACAAAAGTTGTTGCCTTCTCCTGTKTAAACTGGACCTGCAGTTTCCAGAAGGCCAGACTGGCTACAGCGAAGCTACATTTGGTTTTTCTTTGTTGAGCTTGTTACCAGCAACATCACTTATTAGTGTTTGCGAGCTGGCATTCAAAGGCAAATCTGTGTTGGGTTTTCAGAGACGACTTAGTACCCTTAATACCAGCCTTACAGCTGTTTTTGGAAAATGGTTTCACTTTTGGCTCCACTGGGCAGTTTTTTCATTTTTATATGCTTTTCCTACAGTTTTTGAATGCAATTAGATGCAGTGATATATATGGTACTTACAGTACCACAGATATATATATGGTTCTGCAGAGAGATAAATTCCATTAATTAGTTAAAATGAAATACAAACTCACAAATTGCAAAAGCACTTAGACATTTCATTGTCTAAAATAACTGTACTTTCAATTCATTGCATACGAATGCTCAATTAACATTATAAAAAAATCAAGGTTAAAATTTAATTAATGTAATGATAGCTTCATTATAATTACACTAATTGTACTGATATACAGTGTAAAAACAGCCATTTCAGCCATTATATTGATGTAAATTTATTCTTCCTTTCAAGTTAACCTGTTTGAATTAYATTTTTAATTATTTATCAAGCTGAATATCATGCCTATCAAAAGAGTCCAAGTTCTAGCTATAAAGAAATATTTTACTTTTCCCTATTTGTAGAGCAGTTCTTTGGTCCTATGACTTTGTAATCCAGCAGCTGAAATGACTGACACTTAATTCAAATAGGATGGGGAGTTGCTGTCATGGAGGATCTCTGTGCAGAAGAAAGATGGAAATTCATGGGAGATAAATTAATTACATGAGGAAGACTGCCAAATGCTTCAGTCCTTGATGGGGTTACTTACGAACAAGATGATACCTGATTTTTCTACCTTTTTTTTTGCATATGCACCCACCACAGTCTAAGTATAAACTTACAGTMAGCTCTATTCAGCAAAGTACAACAAGAAAGATTGCAAAATAGAGGCCATCAAAAAAGCAAATGAACTACTGGTCACTTTATTCATTATTTTACATTGACCTAGACATGACACTTAAAGGATTTTGACACTTTCTCTTCAAAGCTGTATTTAGTTCTTCTCTCTTGAGGGAGGTTTTATGACAGAGCCACAAAAGAGGTTTTAAACAAGTATAGTAAAGGGAAGAAAACAAAGCTTGGCCAATGTACACATACACACAAAAAAGTGGAACAGATGCATGTTATCTGCTGATATATTAGCCCAGCAGACATTCAAAGACTACRAAGACTCACTTTGTTCTCCTTTGTTTTACCGCTTTGTTAAGTGTCAGCTTTTCTTTGTACATATTTAATGCAGACCTTACTTATTCAAGCTGTTTGACAGAAAAAGTCACTACAAAAATGTTTACAGTTTCATACACTACCTTTCATTTAGACAGTCCCACATTGGTGGCAATCTAGTTATGGCAGTAGAGCCAAGCATGAGATAATTTTAGTCCATTTTTACTCTTGTAGAGCAACAGTTACAAAGAACACAAAGAGCTCTTCTAAATGTCAAGCAAGYCATGCAATTAATTATTGAACATATTTAAGCTTCACAACTCTTTCAAAGCCTGTCAGTCTCTTAATGTCTTATGCCACCGAACTTTATAAATACAAGTAAACAAGTGCTATTAAAATAATTTACTTTCTAGTAATTATCWTTTTTGCTGTTGATATTTCTGCCCCTTATAGATGGTACTGCTGGTACTCCACTATCACTATTTTATTTTCAAGTCTTCTGAAGTAACTGTTTCAATGCTGCTTGTTCCTTTAGCACTCGTTAATATTAGGATGGCAAATATCCCTAATATGGAGACACCCTCTCTAGAAGTTAATTACTTCTCTGTTTCATTTGCAGAGCTATGTCACTRATAACAGCAATGTTAATGAGATACACAAAATAATAAAAAAGGTAAAATTCCCTGTAAAAAGCATTATCTTCACAAGATTGGCTGTGGTTGGTTATAAATTCCATTATTTTTCTTACTGGAATATTTTTATTCCATAACAGTTACAGCCAGAATGGGTCTGCACAGGTTTGATATAAGTTGCCTAAAAACATTTTTTTGCAGAGGGATATGAAAATTTTAAACGTCATAGATTTGGTAGRCCACTCAGCTTCTATACTAAAAATGTGTATTTGTCACACAATGTAGRACACAAAGTTCAGGCGTGTCATGCATTTTAAATATCTACTTAATTGTAGTGTATCAAAAAGAGAAAACCCTAATAAAAACAGATAAGAAGCCTTCTCTTCCCCAAAAGCATTTCCTCATCAAGAAGAARGACAGGAAACACCAATTTGCAGAAAAGATAAAGCTAGCTCTAGTATTTAACAAACATTCCCACTTAATGACACCCTGACTTATGAATCCCAGTGATATGGAAAACTAACATAATACATAATACCTAGCTTCTATGGATTTTATTAGCTTTTGCTACAAAAACAGACATAGTTCTCTCTAAGATTCTTAGGAATAAGCTCCTTTTTTTTGTTGGTGTTAAGCATTCAGCAAACAACCAACACAGAGATCAATAAATCTTTTAAAAGTATTTGAAGATGTTGTGAAACTGCTGTTATACCATGTTAAAAAAAAACCAGTTACTTCTCAGAATTTTTTTCTGAATGTTTTTCTGAATTTCCTTGAGACYGTAGCAGCAGTTCCTTGAAAACAAGTTTACTGGTGCATGAGGCCCTTTGTACATAATCCCATGCAATTCTAAGATTTTTTAGGTTGATCTTCTAGAAATTCTACTTAGCATTTACATTTGAAAAATAACATGTACATTTGAAAAAGCTTATCTTCCATTTCTAGAATTCATGTTTTTCCAAGGTAAAAAAAGCTGTCCAATGAAATGTCAGTGCCCTTGCCTCAAAAAGACACTTCTGACTTCATTTTAAATTCAGTGATTATCAATCAGGAAAAGGTACAGATGGATTTCTTTGGGGGGTTTGTTTGGTCTGTTTGCTTGTTTTTAAACCAGGAACTTTCAAGCATAGTTATTCAAGGAAACAGGAACTGTTACAAATTATGGATTATATGCATGGAGTAAATCCAGCTAAGGGTTCCAATGTTTATAATAATAATTTTGCATACTCATTTTATGATTTGATCATGAAGAATGCACCATRAAGATAGGTTTAGATTAGAYGTTAGGAAGAAATTCTTTGAGATGATGAGTCACAGTAACAGGTTGCCCTGAGAATCCATGGATAGCAGCTTCCAGGAAGTGTTCTAAGGTGACTTTGTGGCTTTGTTTAAGCTGGAAGGTGTCCCTGCCCATGGAGGGAGGTTGGAACTAGATGATCTTTAAGGCCCYTTGCAAGCTAAAAATTTTTTTGATTCTATGAAGGATCCAACACAAGACAGTGTCTGGTCTTTTCATGGTGACAGAGGACAAAAGATGTGTTCTTTCCAGTCAAACCCAAAAGAGTTGTGATCCACATCTAAGCTGCTCCCCAATTATCCATCAGCAATACCTATCAGAGGTAATGTTTTTATGGTACCTCTTTCTTGATGTAACTTTCAAASAAAAAGTCTATTTCTGCTGACCAACAAATGTGCTGCAGCTGTGACCAGCAGCTGCTTTCTTCTGCTGACTGTACTCTCTTTTCTGTGCCAGGAACACCAGGCTTCTGAGTACAATATCAGAGTAAGAAAAGGTTAAGACTTTTTACCCTAATATCCCCTTTCCTTCATTTATGTGAGTCAAACACAAATCTATCCACCTACAAGTGTCGGGGATGAATAACCGTAGTTATTCTTCAGCTGCTGAGGGAGAGTTGTCCAGATTTTTTGTGGTTGCCATTCCAGTTCTGGAAGAGCCAAAGAACTTGTCACTCAGTGATTTTCAGAAGTATAGGAATACAATGCACCATGATCTGTTCAACAGCAGACCCAAAATATGAAGCAAAGGGGACATAAATTTCTAGTCTCAGCCTCAAAGTTGTTTCTTTCTCTGTGTTTAGCTACTATATAAAAGCAGGTCTTGCTTAAGATTGCCTTCTTGAATTAGTGTTAAGTTTTTAAAACTTAGGAATATAGATTTTACACTTCAGCCACTGCAAACACTGAAAAATCCATAAACTCGATTGACACCACCTTAATACAAGGTGATAATTRTTGTTGTCAAGGGTATTTTGTACACTGAAATTCAATTGTCTAAGGCTTTTTCCTCAAGCCTCCATAATGTGTCAAAGTTCATTACCTGTGTTTTACTATATGGTAAATAACATCACATCTTAATATATGCTTTCATGTTGCATTTGTAAAACACAGTATGGGAAATTAGTGACACACATTATGTCCAGGAAGAGCATTTAGCCTATTGTCAAAAGCYAGTAGCACGCTAAAGTTCACCTCAGAAGAATTTTTATCTGTTTAGCCACAGGTACATAACAACATGATTGATAAAAGAAACAGAGGCATTATTAATTAATTATCAGAGGCATTTTTTTACAAAAATTATCTTAGGGGGTTCTAAAAACATTAATCGTAGTCAGCAAACATAACACCAGTGCCAATATAGTAATAAAGAATCATACTCTTATAACTTTATATTTGCTTTCAAGCAGATGTTAAAATTTTGGATTTATCACACCAGATCAAATCATTTGCCCAAATACAGACCTGGAACCACATTGTACAGGGACAGCCATATGCAAACCATGAACACAAGTGGGACCAAAGGCAAGTCCCATTAAAATCTACAGCAAAATACTCCTCAAAATCTAAACAAAATTTGGGAGCCTGAATACTGTCTGATTGCAATATTTTATTTTTTAAAAAAATATTACAGATTATTTTATTTCTCTAAATCTTAAATCCTCTTAAAATTCATGCTATAAACTTCTGACCTACATCATATCCTGGTACAAAGCCTTTCACCAGTTCCAAAGAATAACAAATGTTAGGGTTTACCTATTTTTAAATCACTTATATTCTTTCTATTTTTGCTTAATCTCTGAAAAATTTTGACTTCTGTTTAAGACAGAAAATTATTAAAATGTCTGGAAAATTATAAATGAAAACTATCACCTAGAAGCCTTTCCAGCCACTGTAAAACCTCAGTCATACCAACTTCTTCTCTTAAGAATAATTTTTCCAAGATCTGTTTTAATCATAAAACAGAAATAATTTAGGAAACATTTTTTATGGTTTGCTGTGAAAGAGAATGAAAAAACACAGTGAAGTAAAATTACACTTGATARTGGGATGCTGCCCATTTCCAAAGTGCAAATTTTCCAGAAAACTGAATTTTGGGATGACTTATTCTTTCAAGTTAAATCTGACCATTATCTTTGTGAAGAAGTGAGGAATTACTAACCTGTGAAAGCATTTAATTTCTAAAAGCAATTAAATTCATTGAAAGAAATGTTACTTGCCATTTTGAAATTTCAAAATGTTTCTTTTAAAAATTTCTTAATAAACCTTTGACCTGTTGTTGTCCAAAACCRTATTTTGAAATATGCATCATTTAGGAAAAGAGAAGAGCTCAGAATCCATTTATTTATGTGCATATATATATTTACTACTAAAAAAAAATCTTTACTTCCCCTTCAACTTTGCTGGGAAAAATTATAAATATTGGTTACATCTAACCCAAAGTCCATTATTCGTTTACCACTCCATCAGAATGATAAATCTCACAAACACTACCTCTTATCCTAATTACATAGCATATTGACCAAGTAATTAGTTAATGACTCTGAAGTACATAAGTGCAAGAAAATATTTCAAAATTACCCACTTGAAGCACTGCTCATCTGTCTAATACCAGAAAACTTTCAGTGCAACACTAGTATAGGAGATATATATCCATGAATCTCAATGCATGTTAAGATTTTTAAAAGTTTTAAAAGTATGTATGTTAAGTCTTCTTAAGTCTTAAGTTTACTTCTTACTTCTTTAAGTCTTAAGAGTTTCTCTTTTGCCACCAGACAAGTTTATTCTCGATTAACAGAACTGTCAAACAGAATTAARTAGTGCTGAAATGCTTTTCCACAGAGACTTAACAGCAACAAAGCAATATACATTTAAAAGGGAACAAAACAGGTCCCTAGAGTACAGTATAAAGGACTGAAGACATGCTGAGTCTTTGATGATGTGCATTATCAATTAGCACTATTCTGATCAAACCCTGTGTTATTTACCCAGTAGGAGTCCTGATAACAGCACGTCCTGCAGATGGGATGATATCTCCAGTCAGCATCTTAAATGTTGTGCTTTTCCCAGCTCCATTTGTTCCCAGGAGTCCAAAACACTATCATAGATATTAAAAAAAAAATTCAAAAAGTAATCAATATTCTGTACTGAAAAAAGAAGAAATGTCACCCCTTCAAATTTCCCCCCTTTCCACATTTCCTATCGTATGTCTGTAACAAACTCTATATGGATATAATGTGTGTGCAAAATCCTGTTTCCACTGAAAAACAGTTTAAAAATTTCAGACAGTTCATACTTTAACTACCCCCTAATTACTGAAAGTGACTTTTTTAGGGTTCTAGCCCTCAACTTAAAACCCTGTCCAACAATTAAACTCAATTAGTTTACCATCTTATTACCAAATGTTACATTTGAACTGGAGAATTTAGAGTCCTACTTCCAAATCCCGGCTATCAGTCCAAAGAGTGAATATTTCCCAGCTTCTCATGAGCTGCTTCACTCTGTACACATGAGCACCAAACATCCAAGAGACACACTCATTTTGAACACTTCTTCCAACCCCTAGCTGCAATAACTTTATGCTTAAGCTAGGATAGGTTTCATATTAAGTCTACACATAGCCCTTTTTGATTTTGAAATACTTTATTTTTTAACTTTCTTATCAACAGATAGACTTAAATCAGCAATTACAASCTCCAGGTTACCTCAGTTACCCAAKASCTGACCAGTAAGTAGCACTTTATCAATGGACCTGCGCTGCCATGTGCAAGTTTCTCAGATCTTCCAATTTCATATTAGCAACCAAGAAAAGTCTTTTCTTTCTCATTAGTTTGGAAATTAGTATTTGTAATTCCCCAAACCATCAAAATAATGAAAAAAAATACAAACACATATTTGTTCAGCACTAAATTTCAATTTATTGAACTAGTTTATTTCTTATAAGCTATATTCAAACATACTGTGAAGATTTCATCATGGGAACTAAAAGTGTGTAGTGTCAATAAATTTAGGATTCAGTCCACAGTTTGCTGTTGAGTTGGGTATTCTGTTTTCTCTTTGTACACTGAACTGCTATGCTATCTCACTTGCTTTTTRTGTTAGCCTATAATACAGTAACTTGGTAAAGATAAGCAAGAAATAAAAAAAAAAATAAGATTGATGAATATTTAACTCAAATAARTGAACATTTGCTTTTTCAGCACCACCAGAGTGGTGCTTTTATCCAGTTTTTGATTATCAGAAATTACTACAACTGAAATTTTTCTGCTGCTATCTACAGATCTTTCACTGTAGACACAGAGTATGTCTCAACAACTGCTCAAAATAAAGTGTTACTTTATAAAASGGGGAAGAAAAAGACCCCTTTACCTCTCCCCTTGGTATGCCCAAGCTTATATTTTCCACTGCAGTGTTCTTCTTACTGAAACCTCCATAACACTTCCTCAGGTTGTACAGAAGTAGGACATCATTACCAGTTCTTCCACCAAAGAGTCGCTGTCGCTCCATTTCTACATCAGCATCTTCCGAGGGGCTGTCCATGTTGTCARCTGAGCAATGACCCCTACAACAGAATGATACATGGCAAATTGGTCATTGTTGCATTCTGCATAACTTATTTTCCTGGTTGCAAGCCCTTAGTGCTTGATGAGCAATTCTCAYCAGCTTTCAAGGGAAATCTGTATTAAATTCAGGTGCACCACATTATCATAAGCATKTATGTTCAAGTGTTCAAAGGAACACAACATTTTCTTTCTCTAAAAATTAGYTCAGTGTCCCCTGTGGCAGAATTCAAATGATAACACACCTTGGTTTCTGGAGGAGATCCCAGTGAAGAAAAAGACGTAAAAGAAGCAGTAGCGTTCCCTGAAGGGCCATTTCCACAAAAATCCAGCCCAGGAAATCCATCTCAAAGGGGCTCACATATGAATCTATTCCAAAGTTCCTGGTCAGGTCAAACTTGATCTGGTTGTATGAAAGCTCTATTAAACCCTGGCCTAGGCAGAATTGTGGGAATATGATGAATGCCCATTTGAGGATATTGTAGATGTTCTGAAAACTCTGTAGTAAGATGCGGCAAGATGGAGGAGAATAAAAAAAGAAGGAAAAAAGTAATTCGTTTCCTCCAACAGCATAATGAGCACACTTGCAAAGCTGAATACAGCATTCAAATCTCACTCTAGRCAAACTGAATTCTAAAGTGCATAGTAACTATTCTGGGGACAGAGATATCATACTGCATTTTGAACCTCCTACAGGCCATCTAATCTTAGTTGAGGTTCACAGACAGTATCAAAGCATGTGGCCATTACCCTTCTATTTTCTTAACATTTCAATATTTGAAGGCTATCAAATCTAAATCACCAGCTYAAACCCAGGTGAATACCAAATCTGCTTACATGCTTGTATGGTATGWAATCCAGATTTAACTTCAAACATCAAGTTTTTGACCTGTACATGAATGGAGTCATACTCATTSTGGTACTCCTCTCCATCAAGTTGTTTAAATACCATTATGACTAATTAAAATTATATACATGGAGTGAGAATTAYTATTCATACAGAGCATTAGTGATCCTAGGAATATGCAGCTTATCTCTTATGTCAATATTATTCAAACACATTTTACAATGCATATAATCAATTTAATGGACCAGAACAGCTCCCATTATGTGTCAATTACAACTTAATGGTCTAKAAAATGTCAAAGTTTCAATTAACACTGCTTTTCCATTATTACAGCGTGCTTTTTTGGGTTACAGACAAGTTAAAATTCAAGATGCTCACAGTCAATACAGTACATTCTAGGACAGAAAAACCATGAATGTTTAAAAACCATAAGGTTTTCTTTTGGAAAAACCTTATCTGTACGAATACATAAAAACACATATATACATTCTCAAATATACACATGCATGTATGTGTGTGTATAAGTCCCARTTATGAAAACTATAAACCAAAGATTTTATACTTACCTGCACTTTGGAAATTATAGCTAACAAGCGAGGTAACAGAGTCACAAGCATGGTACACAGGCCAAATACAAAATTTAAGGAGATGTAAGAAATAAAAGCTACATCGGAACTTGAGAAGAATCTGGATGCAAGATACATCCAAGGTACAGTTGCATATCTGAAAGTATAAAGAAACAAAACTGTCACAAATAGTTACATTTTTAACTCAACCCCCCAAAAAAGTCAGTTATCACAGTAGAAAAAACCACAATTATTGTTTCTTATTTTTAAGAGAAGCAAACAACTCTTCTGAACAATTGTTTTTTTAAAAAAGGACAAATTAGGATATGAATTCTTTTACAAATTAGCTTATGCTTCCATAGATGTACACATATTTACTGCCATGTTATGCACAGATATGATCAAWTTTTGCATATATTAGCTGCAGATATTTACTTTAACTGTTTCAGACAGCTGGCAATCCTGATTTCTGACTGATTGCAGAACCATGTAACTTGACAAGCCTCTTACACAGACWCAGAATTAAAACCAAATATTTAAAGCTTAAATCATGGATGCCAATCAGTTATCTTTTCTGAGAGGCTTTCATAGAAGGAAAAAATAGAACAAAAGAAGGTGGTGAGAAAAAGAGAGAAAGAAAAAGAAGAAAAAACATTAATCTTTTAACTAGAACTAATATTTGTGTCAGTGATATGTGAAAATGGAAAAATCCTACAAAGCATGTTATTACCTAAACCAGGTTGTCAGTTAGTAGAGTAATAGCTATCAAAAATGAGTGCACAGCACAATGAGGCTGAGACAGCATGTCCATGACTACATCACCTTCAATGAGAATCTTTAAAGGAAGGARAAAGGCACCCTCCATTCTGACAAGGGAAATGATACCTATCCAAAATGGAGCAGTCAGATGTTTTATAAAGAGATGTTTATGAAGCCTAAAACAATGCCCAGGCAACCTGATGAGTATGCATGTCACACAAAGAAAACTTATTTTCCATTCAACATAGCCAAAGATATATCTATCAAATAAGCAGCATATAGACTCCAGGAGCAGAGGTAGCAGCATACACTGTTGCATAATGGTAAAAATATGTTTTGTATATATTAATATTATATAAGAAGTATTTATATGTATAACTGTTTTAATAATGAGCTCAGTGCAAGAGCAACTAGCCAAAATTTGGTGAATTTACTTCTTCATTGCCCGAAAATATAGTTTAGATTACAAGTCATAATAGTCCCTTTTGAACTTAGTATTCTGTACCTAATAGATGAATCTTTTGCACTGGAGAATGCCAAAATCTTTTATCTTAAAATACAAACTTRCAAATCCTGATGGGAAGTAATAATGATGTTATCCTCAGTTTACAGGAAGATACAGGTCAAATGACTCAATGTTTGGATCTCAAATGAAGATTGTAAGTATTTAAGAACACATCATACTTTTCAGCATCCTGTTGCCAGTCTTAATCACACAATCTTTTCTTTCCTTCATGCACATACCAAAATCACCGTTTTCACAATTGCTCTGAATTACAATATCGTAAATACAAGTCCATCCTTGGAAATAGCTCAGGAAAGAGACATTATTTACAATGCTATTACTCTGCTGTAAATGAAAGGAAAATTTGATTTGTTTGCTTATAGCTGTTAAGCAATGAGTAAGACTTTCAGAATACTAAAGTTATATGTTGTTCAAATGGAGCCTTTCAAATAGCTGCCAATCGCACCTACATTTCTATTCTTTCTTTTCCTTCAGCTGCAGTTGCAATTCAGTATTTTCTGAATATAAAAGACAGAAYATTTTGGACAGAAAAGTTTAAGCATTTGGACTAGGAACACCTCTGCTATCATCTAAAAGAGAAAGAAAATGTAGTTTATTTAAGAGGCAGTTGTATTTTTAAAGGATATCAGTTTTAAAGTAGCAAACTTGATTATTCTTTCAAGCACACCCTCTTCAACTTTTTTATATAACTGGGCTATTTTTATCTTGATTCTAGATCAGAAAATCCACACAAGTAGCCTGAAGAGACAAAAACATTTTAAAAGGAAAAAAAAAATGCAGATGATGCTGGCATGCAGATGAATGAGGATTACATGTACTGTACTGGGGAAGAATAAAATGGCCACAATATGCTTCATCATGTTTACAGTGTAGCTAGGCTGAATAAAGGGTAGTTTAGGAAAAGTGGCAACACTGAAGTTTATCAGTGTCCTTGAGACATGTTAAACTTACAGACAGCTACTGGATCTTTAATATATGTTAATACTGATTGAATACATAGATTTTCTTGTTAAAAATCACTGCAACATCTGTTATGTCAGCCAAAGCTGAACAGTACAGGAGGGATTATACTGAGCTGATTAAGCTRCATCTGCAGTCAACAAAATAAGACAGTCCAGATTTTCAGTCAATACCTTTTTTTTCTGAAATACTCAGAGATAAATCAACTTGACATTTTGGTTAAAACAATGCCAGCATAACCAGCATTTGATAGTACACTGTGGACAGAACCAAAGCCCACAGCACACCACAAAAAACATGTCATGACTTCAGGACACATGTGCTTCATTTGCTGCTTGGCTAAGATATCTATAGATGCCTATGCCTTGCTGGGATGACAGCAACTGGATCACAAGGATTCAAAGCATGTAAAGGTAATTAAAAAAAAAAAAAAAAAAAAAAAAAAAAAAAAAAAAAAAAAAAAAAAAAAAAAAAAAAAAAAAAAAAAAAAAAAAGGTGTTAGATTTCATAGTGTAAAATCTTTGCGCTAAGTCTTGTTAGACCTTGTGCCTTTACCTTGAAAGAAACACTTGATGGAAGCGCAGAAGAAAGAAAGTGAGAGTGGTACGAGAGTGATACAGAGGAGAAAAGTATAAACTTTGGATGTCTCATACAAGTTATTTACAACATCCTGGCATCATGACCTCAGGAATATTTCATTATTTCACTAATTAGGCCATTCACATCAGGAAAGATGACCACAAACTGGTGTTACAAGGGAAAATTATAAATAGAACTATCTAAGGAATTTGGAAGGTTTTACAAGAGAGGTCTTGGCTTGCATTGATGAAGGACAATTTTCAAGTATGGTTCTGAATAAACTTAGGCTAGAATTTTCAAGAAAAGATCCAGCTTTGAGGATACCAAAACAGAATGAGTTGCTGGAGGCACAAAAGCTTGAAATCAGTTTCAGGATGCAATATAGCAAATTGAGGGGTTTTCTTGAGGGGTTTATCTGACCCTCTTCCTGGAATAGAACAAGCCCTAATCTTGCAGAAGGTTTTTTCTTCTTTCCTTCCATATCACTCTCTCATGAAGAAGCTGTATTTCATTATCTAAATATCTGTCATGCAAGATATGTCTTCTCCCCTACAAGGGTAGCACCAATTAGTTGCTTAAAATAAGGACTGAACTTCACAGAAGCATCTCCAGCATTTCTCACACCACTTTAGACAACACAAGGGAAGAGTAAAAGGAACAGGATACACCATTAATTTGATTGATGCCAAGGCTCAACAGCTTYATTTTTATAGAGATATCAATCCTCTGTTTAACCAGTTATTTTAACTTGCTATAACTGGGTTGGTTAGCTGAGCCTTTTTCCATGTAAAACTAAGAGCAGCATGGTGGAACTTTCCTCTCTCACAGTTTTATCTGGAGACAAATCTCCAACTAGGCCAGTGCTTTATATTGGACAGATTTCTCATTGGAAATATAAACTCCTGTAGCTATGTAGGAATACAGAAAATGGTTAGAGCTCTAATAAAAGCTGTTTCTCACCTTCTTGGATGATATTCTGCATAGCTAAGCACTGAAATTCTGACCTATGCTATTATTTCCTCATTTTCTGGAAGATAACATCCAATCAATTTCTAACAACAAACTGTTGTTACACAGCCTGAGTATTTTCTGAGACATTTCCACTTTTTTTTTTTTTTTAATGCGCAAGTAAATCTCCCTCTGCTTTTTGTGTTTAACTTTCAAACTCACGTTTCAGCCTGTTTTGCTGAATCATAATTGTTTACAAAGGCAGAAAACCATGCATCCAGCAGTAGGTGCAAACTATATCTAAAGATTTATATTTGTTTCTTAGAAGCTGTAATTCCATAGAAGCATTTCCAATCACATACCCAAAGAGTATCAGCAGGAGAACAGTGGCTGCCAAGTTCTTTTGGAAAGTGAAGGCTGATAGCTGGAAGGCACTAATAACACCAACACACAGGGTGACTGGAACCATGTAAAATAGCTAGAAACAGAAGAAAAAAAAGCATTGAGCAGGTGAACATCTCTTACTGGYCTTACCTAATTTGCTTAGAAGGGTTATACAAATTAACTTCTCCTTATTTGCAACACAATTATACTATAAATTAGGAAGAAATAGGCAGAAGAAGCTGGAGATTTGATAGTCCACACTCGATGCAAAACTGCTCCCCATACATGAAACAGCCTGACAAGATAAAATCTGACTACAGAATATTCCCTTTAATCYTATTTCTATTGCCCTTTTCAATACATCCATTTAACAAGCTAACTCTTCCAGATAATGAGTCCGTGTGGGGCTATTGCTCCAAAACATCAAATTACACTGTGAATGCAGAGGCTTGGTTTCAGAAATAGCAGTTTCATTGATTGGTGCTTCAGTCATAGGAGAATAGTAAGGATGCAATTTTAAAAGAGACTTTAATGAAGGACCATGTGTGCCGACAAAGCAAATGACAACTTTTATTGGGAATGGACACAATGTGTAGAAGCATTACAGCCATTAGGAAGCAAGGAAAGCAGTCTCTCTATTTAGTCTCTCAACATAATGGCAACGAAGTACTTCAGGGAGGCAGGGTGGGACTGGTACATGGGATTCATATCCAAGTATTTAGGAGAGAGGGGTTCTGCTTCTAACTAGCAATGTCAGSATGTGAAAATCTGTGCTCAGATCCATTCCCAGTGTCTGCCTGCTCTGTGTACTGAGCCTGAGTTCATTAGGGCAGTGACTGTCTGCATTTTTGTTTATATRATATTCAGCTTTATCTTAATAAAACCAAGTTTCTGAGATACACTCCAATAGGGGCAACAAATCAAGGTCTGGCTTAAAATTCGATGTAGAAGAACAACATACTCTTAAAATCAGACTCTCATACTGAGTACAACAAAAACCTGCTCCAAATTAAACCAGAGGCCATCACCACTTTGCTACTGGGAAAACAATTTTTTTTTTTTTTGAGAATGGCAATGGAGAAAAATATAGATGAATTCAATGTTCTCATCCTATTCACARTGTACCTTTTCTTTGCCATATACAAATACCATAACATACCACCCACAGATTTATGTTTCAGTTATCCCGAAGCTGTTTTAGAATGCTGTAGAGAAGTCACAAAGCATTTGAGTCCCAGTATGTTTCAACAGATCTGAGGTTTCAGTCTAGAAATAAATAAATAACTTTYAAATYAAATTCTATTGGACAYCTTACYGTGAAWTCATGGTGTATTACAGAAGTTGTTYGTGTACAACAAAACAACTTTAATTTTGCCCCTCTAGTGACGCAAGCTTAATCTGAACAAAATGTCTCTATTTCTCTTTAAATTTTCTTAGCACTTACACTTGTTCCATTTGTTGAACATAGTAATGAATACCATTCATGCCTATAAATACAATAAGAACAGCCTGATTCTCATGAGAGCAATTTCATAAATCAGATACTTCTGCAAGCCTAGTAAAGATTCTGCTACCAGTAATATAGGACACAGCCTTTAATACTTAAAATACRTAGAGGGATTTAAAATTTGACAGTTCATATATTCATGTGTTCAGTGTCCCTAAATGATCTGCAGAACAATTAGTATTTAAAGCAGTGTCTGTTCTTTCCCAGATCATGATTGATCATGCAGTACTGTGTTGAATTTGTGAGAACATTTTGAGAGATTGGCAGAAAATAATGAGGAGTTGACTTTGCTCACAAGGAGAAAGCAAATGATGAAGGACCGAGTTYTTAACCAAGCCTTCTTATCTGAAGCAGCAGTAAAAAGAAACACCAAGACTGACTGGCCAAGTAAATAACATTTGAAAAAAGGTGCTCTTACCTCAAGATTGCTCAAGTGTAAAAATTCTGATTTCAAGCATGGATGGGTGAAGATTTAATGTTTCAGAATTAGAATAGTCTAAATGAAAATAGAATGTTCCAAAAAATTCTGTTCTTKACCCGTGTATCACAGAATCCAACCTAAGTGTTGGAAAGGACCTTAAGAGCATCAGGTCCAACCATAAATCCAGCACTGCCAAGTCCACTACTAAACCATGTCCCTCAGTGCCACATCTACATCTCTTAAATACCTCCCAGGGACAGTGACTCCACCACTTCCTTCCTTGGGCTGACTTTTCCAGTGCTTGCCACAAATAAAAGCTACTGATTATAAGTATCTCTCACATTATCCACAACAACACATAAYTGTCTCTTCAAGGAGTTGACCAGCTAACTAATTTTCAGTTTTCTCCAGTACTCTGAAAGGTTTTGCCAGTGCAAGGCAAAAATCAAAGCATGGAAATTCCAGCTATGAGCTGCTGTGTGGAAGATTGTCTAGGCTGGTTACCCAACTTCCTTTCACTTGTAAAATAGTTTACATAGCTAAAGCTACAATTCAGCTTTGGGAAGCAAGGAACACAATCTTCACCTTGTATGAAAATAGGAAATGGCGTCTCAGAGTTTGTTAGCATGTCAGCCAAGAGCTGTCACTCTGTGCAATTCAAATGTTATTCATGTATCATGTGACCATATCTCCTTTTGCTCATTTATGACAAACTAGCCTAAAATTTACACCTGAACACATGCTGCCCCACAGAGTACATACCATATCAAAGCAGAAGTTTGCAAACCAGTAAGTTGTGTAACCCAGGCCTGTGATGTGCTGCAAGCGTTTTGTCCCAGATRCTCTGTCTTTCACTATGGCACTTCCAATGGAGGCAGTAAGGATAGAGAAACCCAGCATGATACACAGTGCTACCCCACACTGACGAACATTCTCCATTCTAGGGTAAAAAGGAAAATAGTGTCATGAAAACACAATGGGGAGAAACCCCTTAGTCCTGATTGTAAACACCATAGAATCACACTATGGTTTGGGTTGGAAGGACCTTAAAGGTTGTCTAATTTCAACACTCGCAATGAGCAGGGACACAATATCTCTATGCTATCAATGTCTAATTAAAGAACAGGAAAAAGATGCATTAAGTTGCAAAACTATAGGTGAGTTACAGAGTACAGCATGTGTCTTAAGATGAAGCTTATGCAAATATTTGCCCTTTACAGAAAACTAAAATTTAAACCCTTGAAAATCATTTGAAGTAGTTACCCTGTTTAAAACTATCATGACACAATCAGCATAAATTCAGTATTTTTCTCTACAAAATATTGCAAACTTTTGGTATAAAYCGTGAACTTGACAGACATTCCATGGTAAAAAATGCTTCACTCAGCAGAACTGAATTGTGTCTTATCAATTCACAGCATCTATTCCAGGAAACATATATTCTTATTTAACTGATAGGTTCAATTGTCTGCTGATTGCTGCTGTTAAACATTTTAGGAGTTTGCTCACATTTTGTCCTCATCCAACAAGGCTCCTCCATATGGTTGGCTGTAGAGTGTTATCCCTGTGAAAAGAAAAATAAATCATGAAGTATTAAATATTCTCAAGGACTTCAAGTTCTAGAGTACACTGTTAACTCTTGTTATACATATGAATACAAAGGCTAAATACTTAGTAATCAATAGAAAGAGATCAACCACCAAGCAGCAAAACCAAACAGTCTCCCTTTTGGTGATTTCCGGAGTTTGGAACCACTAAACACTAATGAATGAACATAAGYAGTAGTTGCTTTTCTGCATTCTGAAGTTCAGAAATTGGTTCAACAATGTTATATATTTGCTGCAAAATCTACATCRCTGAAGTGACCAAATACAAAACCTAAAGTACAATATGTTCATGTAGCTAATCTTCTGSGGTAAGGTAGATTGTTAACTGCAATTTATACACTTGGTTTGGATTTTAGATTAGATCTTTTAGCATTTTTTAGATGACTGACATTTCACTGAGAAAAACTGTTTAGCTAAAATCCCAAAAGAAAAAAAAAGTCACACTATTGATCAAAACTGTAGAGCTTTAAATTAAAAACATGCCCAGTTTGGGAGACCAAGAAAAACCTTTAGCAGACAATGCATTCTTAGGCTTATCTTGGTTCTTGGCAATCAAACTGTAGCAATCTAGCAAAATTAACTTTGGAATTGGAAGGTAGCTTATGAATAAAAACTTTTGCTTTTTTTTTTCCTTTTCAAGCAGAAGAAGAAAAACTGGGGGAGGAGAAGGTGTAAGACATTGTCACTACAAAAGCTGATGTTCCACTTGACTTGATGCTGTTTGGGACAGATGTGCCATGTGCACTGGTTTTGTGCTGGATGGAATTAATTTTCTTCACAGTGGTTGGTATGGGGGTAGGTTTTGGGTTTGTGCTGGAAACAGTGTTGATAAGACAAGGATGCTTTAGTTAATGCTGAGCAGTACTTCAAGCCAAGAATCTTTCTGCCACTCACMCACTCCACCAGWGAGGAAAAYGGGGAGTCACAGGGAGTTGGGRTGGGKCACAGTGGKACAGCTGACCCCARYTGACCAAAGGACATTCCATACTAGATGGCATCATGCTCAGCATGTAAAATGAGGAATGGGGGGGATGCTTGGTGTGATGAAGTTTGCCTTCCTRAGCCAATGTTAAGTGTGATGGARCCCTACTCACCTGGGAATRKCTGAACACCTGCCCGCTCATGGGAAAGAGTGAATTAATTCYTTGCTTTGCTTTGCTTGTGTGTGTGACTTTGTTTTTTACCTATTGCACTGTCTGTATCTCAACCCATGAGTTTTATCACTTCCAGTGKTCTCTCTCACATGCCACAGCAGGAGAGTGAGCAAGTGGATGTGTGAATGGGCCTTAAACTACGACATCAGCACTATTTGACTATTGTCTAAATAAGTCTTTCCTGTACCAAATTTAAAAAAAATACATAAACAAACTTCATCCTGACAGCAATTATAATTTTTCCAGTAGCTTTGGTAAATATATGAATTGTTGCTAGCCTTAGACTGATTCTGTGGACACCACTCAATTGAACACACTTTGTCATATTTTGTTAGGAGTCCAGGTGTATAAAGACAAAAAAATATCTTYATTCTAATAACAGCTCCAGTTTGACTAAATACACATTAATTTTGCCCCTTCAGTTTTTCATTCCTCATCTTCAAGTCAAAATAATCTACCACTAGTAACATTACTGCATGGTAAAAGCTGAAAAACAGAGTATGATGATTAACCCMCACACAAAACTAGCACAAGATAAACATCTTTCAAATATGAGCTAAACACAGTACACCAAAGCCCAGTGGTGCTTAGAAAAACAAAAGAAGATACAAACCAATAAGGTTTTGATGTATCCCTAGTAGATACTTTTGCTCTTTGTAGAAGTCTTTCATGTCATATGCCTTGAGGGACTGTTTAAAATTTTCCTTTGTTTTTCTTTTAAAGCATTAATTTTTTAAACAATTGCTGCTATTTGTTCTGAAGCAAAGCTGACATATCAAAGAAAATTATTTTCTCCCACTGGAACCATTGAATTTCCATTTATGTAAAGGRGAAGCAGCATGATAGAAAGAAACTTAGTTCCCAGAAAGTTTTTCTATGCTTTTCTAATGCTTGAATAAAAATGAGCATATTAGAAGAAATAATCATAGGATCATATAATATGCAGAATTGAAGAGACCCATCAGGATCCTCAGATCCAACTCCTGACCCTACACGGGACACCCCAAGAGTCACACTATATGCCTGARAACATTGTCCAAACATTTCTTAAACTCTGTCAGTCTTGGTGCTGTGACCCCTTGCTGAGGACCCCGTTCAGTGTCCCACCCTCTGGATGAAACACTTTTCCTGATATCCAACCTAAACATTCCCTGGTTCAACTTAAGGCCATTTCCTCAGGTCCTGTCACTGGTCACAAGAGTGAAGGGATCAGTACCTGCTGCCCCTCCTCTTCCTCTTGTGAGGATGCTGAAGACTGCAGTGAGGTGTCCCTTCAATTTTCTCTTTTTCAGGCTGAGCAAATCAAGTGACTCAATCTGCTTCTCATAAGGTTTTCCCTCCAAACCCTTCACCATCCTTGTGGCCCTCCTTCAGATACTCTCTAATGGTTTAATGTCTTTTTTTATATGGTGGCACCAAAGCCACACACAATATTTAAGGTGAGGTACTCCAGCACAAAGCAGAGCAGTACAATCCCCTCCCTTGCCCAGTGGCAAGATCTCAAGGGGAACGAACAAAACCTTCAGATTATTGTGTTGGTATTACTAACAAAACTTTCAGATTACTGTGTTGGTATTAAATAAAAGTCTACACCAGTTGACTTGGCTTCCGCAAACAGAAATGCACTGCTGTAACTCCCTAGTCCAGAAGAACTAGAAACTGTGAAAAAGAGATAATTGCAGKAGAAAATAAAACCCCATGACATTAAACAGCATCATGCTCCTTGCAGTATTGTGCCATACAATACCAATCAAAAAGCAAAATACACTGAATTAATTTCCTTTTATGGAAGAGTCACAAAATTTAATCACACCTCTTARAGTAGCAAACATTTCTGACAGTCAATTCCCATTCAAACCATGTAGATAAAACAAAGAATTATATGGTTTTTAAATTTGCACTCACAACTGAAACTAAATTTCATAAGCTTGTGAATTACAAGAAAAATATATCTGTGCTAAATTAAATTCAGTCATGTTTAGAATTCAAAATTCTATCAATGCATTAAATATAATACTTGCTTTTCATTGAGTATTTTAAGTTTCTTCAATTAGTCTGGAGAAAGACAATCTCTGAATTTGCTCCTTTTTTAGAATAATGATTCCTTCCCTCCACCCATTGACCCATTGTCAAGAAATAGATTATTAACTTGTATAAAGCTAATAAACTAGCTTACAATTCACAGAGGAAAAAAGTTCCCTTGAACAAGAAATAAACTATCTTCCARTATCAGAACAAACCAACAGAATTAATAACATCTGGTATTCGCTATTATATACTTATTTTTTTATATTAAAAGCCCTTCCATGTACTTTTATAACCTATCCCTCCCTAAATTTCTTCTAACCACCTAGGCCATCTTTTTTACACATATCTCTGTCCCAATACAGCTGTTAACATGAAGTAAAATGTACTTATTGATACTTTCTGGCCTTTATATGCCTTTTTACTGTGTAAAGCTGCTATAATGAGGCTCATWAAGTTGAAAACTATCCGCCATCTTTGAGGACTTAAAGGCTATAAATGACAGATAAACTAAGAAGTTCTAAATTATAAAGCTCCTATTAAACAGATGCTTCTGGTGTTTATGCAAGGATTTTTTTAAAGAATTGTACTTGCAAGCTTTGTGTGAACAGCCCTCAGGGCAAATTTTACCATATTAGTATTCACAAGGGAAAAGCAAGACAGGCAATAACACAAAATCTCATATGATTCAGCACTAACAGTGTCTGCTCCTTTTCATAAATTTCTCACTATAAAAATTATTTCTTCCACATTTATAGATTGATATTATATTCTCCTGACTTAATCACAACCACAATTTTCTCTATTGTCCTAAAACCTCCTCCCTCTATGTCCTCAGCATGCAGTTGGACACATTATTTTCGCAGTGATCATTTACGTTTCTTTATGGGCACAGGTGAAAAATCGTAATAGACACCCATTCCAGCCTTTGCAAAACCGTGGAAAAGCAATTCAAGAATTGGAAAAACTGGGACCATAGAGAATCTTATACTTTAATGATATATTCAGAGTATGAGAACACCACGATGAAAGGCTTTCTTATACCTTTTAACCTTCTGCAATATAAAAATGAGGAGCTCCCAAAATGAGAGGCACTATTTGCCCTGTTTGAGGGATGTGAAGAGGGGGGCATCTCAAAGAATGAAACCTGTCTGTATCCATGCTAGTTGATATATGTAGGCACTTATAATTCTGAAAATAATTCATCCAGATGTCAATCCCGACAGAGAGCACAAGTCACCAGTTATATTTGTAGTATATTTTCTGAGGTTTTTTTCCAGCTAAGAAAATTCTTTCTTTTCTCAGTTATTTTGCCTACAGGCACCTTTTTAGTATGTCTTTTCCCTCATTTTTGTCTTTCATTAAAGTCAAAGGTTCAGTTGTTATTTCTTACATTCCTCCATGAAAAACTTGGCTTTATGCAACTGAGAACAAGAGCATTTTTACCAATCCTGCAAGCCATGTTACTACGGGGGAAAAAAGAGTGGAGAAGTAGKCATAGCTTTGAAGTTTAACTATAAATTTCAGGAATAATGCAGCTGCAGCCTGGGCAGGGRAGTGCATATACATTGTAAATGATGCTAATAGTAGCTAATAGTAGAAGAGGCAGTAAACAATTCATTGTACCTTGTTCAGCTTCTCTATGCTTTCCCCCTTGTATTGTCCCTTCCAGGTAGAACAATCCTACTCCTTTCCTTACATTGCTCTTGAGCAAACTAATTTTAGATCCTAATATATTAAAAGGRCATTCCTAACCTAGTGAAATAAATTCTTCATAAAATGCTAGAAGGATTGAAACATTTCCTACAATAAAATATTATACTTATCCATTCTGGATGGGAAAGCTCACAGGAAAATGGAAAATGCATCCACATTAGACACTCTTGATGTGAACATTTTGCATCCCTCCCTGTTGCAATTCAGGAGCTGCACGACTCAGAACACCTTTCCCCATCACAGTATCTTATTACAGTCTGCAAACTGTACCTTCAAGAGAAAGTGCTCTAGATCTTCTATCTCACAACTAAAACAGTTGACCATCTGTCAGAAAAGAAAGGCACATGCAATTTGGCACAACTTTAGAGAGCTGTACGTGATAAAGAACAGAAGGCACTGGTAGTCCAGTCCATCCCATCTGGGTTCAACTTTCCACATAAACACATTTCAAAGTCTGTGGTCTTTCAGTAAAAATTAGGAAAGTAAAATGAATCCATCAGTACTTTTTCAGTATCAGTTGGAGAAAACTAGAGGAAAAAATGTAAAGGGCTTCAAGCTCATATGCCATCACTGTAGGTTAGTCAGAGCTGTCCTTAGGTATATTTTGTGGTTCTGCACTGTATTTTGGGTGTGTCTGAACCTGTCTCTTGGCACTTCTTTGTAAACTGTCTCTTATGTCAAGCTGAATCCTGTGTACATAGATCAGTTTAGATCTGTGCTACTAATTCTGATTGTTGCAGACTTGAATAGAAGCCTAATCTAGATTTCTTCATTCCAGACATTTTATTTCAGATTAGAATAAATAAAATAATATGTATAAGAAAAACAGAGGTAGTATATATATATATATATATGTATATGCATTACAATATTTCTATTTATATAAAATGAGATGTTATTATCAACTCAAAATTACAATTTCTATTTTATGGAAAATTTCACAGGCAACACCATCTTAGTGGTTTCTATTTTACTTTCCCCCACTAATTAGACATGGTAAAGAAGGTTCCATCTAAAGGCCRTTTCAGAGTTTCCTTTGTAAAAAGGTTTAAAGTTATAGTTTGCAAAGCATTCAGGAAACTATATTGCCACTTTCCACCAAAATTCAGCTCAAAATGACTCCCTTGATCCCTTCTGCTCTTTTGAAGAACTGAATCTGAAATGAATGATGCTGTTACATGAAAGCTTACAATGAGTCCTAGTATGAAAGATATTTTAAAAAATCAATGACTTCAGTAGGAATCCTAAGATGGGGCAGCTGCATCACAAAAGGCCTTTCCATATTGAGACATTTTTGTTCTTTGAATAATGATGTAAGACCTTTTCTTTGACTGTTATACTTTACAGACATTGATAGAGATGACTACCASTTCTTTTTTCTTTATATAGCCTTACCCTAAGAGAGAGGTTATAGTCCCTCTCCTAGACTCCAGCATGATAAACACATTCTGACTCAATGTTACACAATCAGGTGGGAAAAATAAGTTTTACTTGATCAAAATTTCTATCTTACACTGAAGCAAAAAATATTGTCTTTTAGTTTTTTATTCCTCTTACTTCATTATTCCATTTTTSTTTCCTCACAATTACATTACTTAATTGTAGGAATGCAGCATTTCAGACAGATATTAGAAAACCTCATTCATATAAGCTTTAATACCAGTCAGAGGTGAAGGGTTCTGACATCTCATTTCTTTGTTGAAGAGTCTTACCTTTTTTTTATTTATTAACATATTAATTTTCATTATTTGCCACTGAATTTATAACCTGCTAGAAAACAATACATTTGATTTCCTCCACAGTAAAACAGAAATTTTTTTTTTCCCCACAATGGAATCACAGACTTACATGATCATGAAAATAGGGATGGATATCCGCATGATAGAGAAGATGAGAAATTTTTATACAGGAAGTATTACTGAACTGCTGTTCCAAAAGAGACACCTGATCCATTAACTACGATAAATGACCTAAATCGATCAGGCCAATTTCTCTTGCTCCATCTAGTTACACGCACCTCCAGCTTAGCACACACATTTWCTTCAACAACTATACTACTCCTCACACAAAAATTACAAGAAGCAGACATTGTAACTTTCCAAGTACTCTCACAGAGAAATCTACCAATAATCCCATATTGTTAAGAGGGAGGTGAAGGAATCAGGGCTAGCAGGGAAGAGAAATCTCTTCACTTACAGAGAAAGACCCTGAAGATCAGGTTACACAACAGCAAAAAGAAAGTGTTTTTTATCACTAAATAAATATAATTTCCTGCTCCTGCATGCTGAAGGGTCAGTAACTTTGTTTGATAGAAGAAAAAGAAATTATCAACTTTTAGCAAAGTTTTTTTTTAACAGATATAAATCCCTAGGGATATAAACCAATGCATGTGGCAGCGCATGTCCTCTATACTCTTGGGAAAATTTCTTCCTTCAAACTTTCATACCAAATCATAAGCCTATATTCCCTATATCATCTTGACTGCAGAAAAGACTTCAGACAAAAACAATTAGCTTCCTTCTCAGCTTCTTATTATCAAAACACATCACAAACTTGGACAGGTATTACTGATCTCCTACGAAAGTTACTGGATCTGTCCCTGTGGGCAAAGAGGGTACAACTCAGGATGTGGTCTGTAATGATTCTTCCCTCCTCCAGACATCTTGGGAGAATTCCAACTGGGCTCATGTTCAAGAAATACACACAGGCTATAACTGAAAAGGGAAAGGATTTCTTAGCCTTTGTATGAGCGTTTAAAGAAGTTGTTGACCTTAGCTGACCTTGTTCAAGGTTGTTTCAAAATCATGCTTGCTGCTATTCTGTTTACATCCATGGCAATGTTCTACCTTACTGTAGTAAGCTTCTTGGAGTAAAGATTTGTTTTTAAAAAAAAGACAAAAAGGCTTTGTCCTTACTGTCCCTTTAAAAGGGTCAAATTATTTTTATGTCACTTAAAAGTAATACAGAAGAGCTGGTTCTGTTAACCAAAAAAAAAAGKTGTTTTGCGAAATAAAACAGCATTAATGTGAGTCARAACTACAAAGACAGTCAGAATTACTTCTGCAACATCTTAACAAGCTTCCTCACAGCAATTTCCAACAAAATTCTAGAACTGACCCAGCATAAAAGCAGAGTTTGGATGAAGAAAGAAAAGGCAAAAATAATATATTTCAATGTGGGAACATAGTGTGTGGTCTTCTGACTGCTGATTTACAGGACCGCAAATAACAATTAAAAAAAAAAAAAAAAGCATATGAATTCTTGTCCATTAGAACAATATTCTTAAATAATAGAAAGCTGAATYAAAGTGAACTGAGTAAGGGGCCTCTATAGCATTGGAAATTCTTGAGTTTTTTAGAAATAAAATATACATATGTWTGTGTCTCTACACAAAAAGTGCACACATACATATGTGTGTACACTCACACACACGTATACATGTAAGTGTACACAAATACACACATACAGAGAGACGGGCAGGCAACACAACCTCTCTTCCCAGGATTCTGTGACAGTTTCCTCTGCATTATGCCTCAAGAGCATGAACAGCCTATCTCTATTGCACTTTCAAATAGATGAACACATAAACTACTTTCCAGCACTTAAGCTCTACTTCTGCAGATAGCTAACATATTGTGCCACAAGGTTATACAATGAGCCCTTGTAGAGATGTCAGTCCAAGACTTCAAGTATTTCTTAAGCACTGTTTTGCTTGCTGTGTTTCTGTGTCACACAATATCGAAAAAATAAAGCATTTCCACAATGTTTGGGACAAGTATCATTTTCTCTGTGAGCAGGACAGCAAACCCCGATTCACCAAGATAGGTATGAAAGTAAGGGTACACAAACATTTAAGTTCCAGAATGGGATATCTAATGGTACAGAGAAAATGCTAGCATCATTACAACATATGAARTTCAGGAAAACTGATTTAAAAGTTATTTCTATTACAAATTCTCATTAAAATACCTGATTTCATTTCATTCAAAATTTCTGTGTAAACACATTCCTTTGATCCATTCTCCTAATTAATTTAGAAAAATAAAACCCCAATCATCTTGAAAGCAAGCCATTACTCTTTTTTCTTTGACATTCCAGAATGTTTTCGTAACGAATCTCTATTTTTAGATGCTCATGATTCCTTCCCCGTTTCCACTGATTTATTCTTTCTTCATTCTAAAAACACTGAAAATCATTTTACCATTACAAAAAAAAAWTTCCTAACTTTACAAAAACTCTTAAAAATTGGTCATAAGCTCTTATTAAACTTCTCCAAACTAAATTCCTCTTTAATAGAATCTAAAGAATGAAGGGAACTGGAATGAGTAGAAGTTAATCTGAACTTCTGAAGTTAATCAAGCCCAGATTTCAAACTAGATTTCTATATCCAAAAAGTTCATCTGTGTTAACAGCTGTGACTGGTTGCAGCCATTTTTTAGAGGTCAGTTCATAAAATTTTTACTTTAACAAATTTTTACAAAGTTCAGGAATATGTGAATGAGACAATTTAGTATATCTGAGTCAGATAGATTACTTTTTCTTTTGTTATGTACAATAATAAGATATGGTAGGCTCTCCTGTTCCTTKAGTGAAAGGATGCTATGAAACATCACATTGCAGTGTGAATTTAGAGCCTAATCTGGATCTACCCTGGATATTTATATAAGGAGATATAGTAAAATGCCAGAGAAATTATAAATCCATACTCTWTTTTGCCTTAGTCATCCTATTTAAGCAAGCCCTAGTATCAGTTTCACAGYGACTAACATCCCAAATCAATTGACACTTCTTCCACAGGGATATCTTTGTAAGGAACTCATATGGCATGGTGAACTTTAAATTTAAGTTTTACCTTACTGTGTACTACATTCCTCACACAAACTTTCTATGCAATTGAAATTTTTACTTTTCAATCCTGCCAAGAAATGCGACTCTGAAATCCTATTGTAAACTATGAAAAAWTTTCATATCTACAATTATTTTAGTTTGTTTAAAAACTACTTCCCAAAATATGAAAAAAAATACAAAGAATGACTATTACCATACTGTCTCCAATCCACATTAGGAGGYAAATTCAGCCACAGAATGAGGTTATTGAGTTCATTTAAGTAAGATGGCAGTGAATGGAAACCTTTTTGGTTATACCACACCTGGAAGAAAGAAAGGAAATTGGGAATCAAAAATTAGTTCAACTTGGATGCTGATCTGAAAGCTTACATTCCTTTGAGGATTGCATAAAGGATATCTAATTCTCCTGTTATGATACCTATTTGTTGAAGAAAGTCAACTAGGCAGAAGACAATCTGTTGATTTGYTCAGGTCTTTAAACAGCATGCATCAGATTTTTTGTTGTCTGTTGTTGGAGATTTACATCTATTTTATTTCCTAAAATTATTAATAAATTTTATTTACTAAACTATTATTAAAGTTTATTACTAAATTGAGATTCTCTGATTTAATGGAACACTGTGTGCCCCTTCCTTTACACAGATTTGGTTGAACAAATAGAGGAAGAACAATGTGAAAATAACACCTGCCAGTTTAACTGAAAAGACAAAAGGATGAGTAAAACTAGTTTTAAAATTRGAAAAACCACTGACATTCCAAAGAGACTTTGCTAAATAGTACCTGCATGTGACACACAGCACAAAATATCTAGGAACAGATAAATGCCTTCTAAAAAGAGGCATAAAGAAAGAATCAAGGGGGCACTGTTTACAAGGTATGAAACTATTCTATAGGCAAAGCTGTCTCCACCTTCAACAAGCATCAGTGGCTTGTTAAACATGAAAGAAATAGATACAAACAAAATTTAGGCAGACAAGGCAAGCCAGTCTCTCTAAGGAACACAGGGAAGCAATTCTGTAGTAACAAATGCTTTATCCTCAGATCATTCAGAATAATCCTGACTTGATAAATATACCCTTAATTTACACTTTGACTTTCTAGGACTGCTGCTGAGATATGCTTGATATGTCTCAAAACCAAACATAATGAGGTTTGAGTTCTCCTCTGCAGTTAGAAATTGCTATCATCCATTACTGTTAATCAAAGTGCTTTCAAACTTACATTATCCATACTGAAAACTGTGTCAAATTATTATGTTTGTTTTCAGTTTCAGTGATATCTAAAACCATCCRATTAATATCAGTTTCTCACGTGATATCAACATGTCTTCTCTCCTTTTTTTTTAACAGTTGAAAAATTCCTAACCTCTCCCTCTTTGGTATCAGCTGTTTGTACTCTGCACTTTGTACATTCTAGGTTGGGCAATTCTCACTGACAGTCTGGATTCTGAATCATACTGCAAAGCGAACAGGATTTAATATTTGTCTTTATTGCCTTAACACTCCTAAGATTCCAGTTTTCTTAGATAATTTCTAAAATTACCATCTATACAGTTATACCTTGGTAACTTCCCTAAAGACTCTCTTACCATTGCTTTGGTGCTGTTCTCATTTACTTGCAGAAAATTCTGCTTTTTTTTTTTTTCCTTATACTGTCCAACATATCCAACCTTACTTATGTTCCCACATTTAAAAAAACAGAACAAAGCCCAAAGTCTTTCCTTCTTTGCAAAGTCATATGAAATTCCTTTGTTCTTCTCCAGTTCAGTTCCCACAAACTCAAAAAACTAGATCTCTGATTCACTAATCAACAAGAAAGGTCTTTAAAGAAATGCAGTGAAAGAGAACATAAGTTTCCTGAGGAAAACTGAAACGCTTTGCAGGGCAGGACTTCCTGTGCAAATAGCAATCTGAGCAAAAAGACAGAAACAAGTGATCAAGGGTAACCTGCCTTTTCCACAGCTCCATACCTTCACCTCTTATTTTATCTTTTTTTTTTTTAAAGATTTGTGCCAAATGCAAAGTTATACATACATACATAGTGAAACTCCACTGTAATTGTGTTCATTGTATTGAAAAAAAAGGCAATTAAAAAAATTAAAAAGCAAAATTCTTACAMTACATCCTCATTTAATTCAGACAGGGAAAAGGTCACAAGTGTTCAAAGAACACCTCTGAAATATAGTAACACGACCAATATTCAAATGAATATACAAAAAACACAATAGAGCATTGTGTGTAACAGAACATTTCAATATCCAACATGTTAATTGGAATTAKTCCTTCAAGCTGCATTATGCAACTGAATCAAATCACGAGGAAATAATCAAATTGAGGGTGGATATTTAATTTATTATAATCTGGAGAAAGAGACATTTGAGGTTGTTCACTTCATCAGAAAATACACATAAGGTTTTTCTTCTAAAGAAGAAAAGAGTTTTTCTTCTAAAACTTGACCAAAATTGTTTGCCAAGCTAAAATATAAAAAAAAGGAAATATATTAGCRCTAGCTGAAATATCTTTCATATTTCTTCTGTGCCATACAGGTAATTATTTAGAGAGGGCAGAAAAGATCTGAAGAACAGAAACCAATTTTTATTTTATATTCTATCCATTGTTAAGAAAATTCTTTTCCAAGRAAAAACACAAGCCCTCACTACATCAGATTGAAGTTCTGCTTTATGTTATTACATATTTTACTTACCATTAATATTCCAGAATAAAGCCGGACTGACATTTCAACTAACATATGGCGTATTAAGAAAAAAAAATGAGAAGTAGCAGAGAAATCCCTAAGCATTACTGGTCCAGATTTGTGCTTGATATTAGACTGGAAAGATGTATTTTTTYCCTCAGTACACTTATACAATTACTGTACTGTAAACCCTCAAGTCCCAACCTTTGGGATTGGCAAAATGTACTTCTTTGAATGACACACGAAAAGTACAATTTGCCTCTCAGCAGTATTTAAAATTACCACATGTTCTTCCTATATTTCATTATATTATAAAAAAATATCAATTGTGAAATCATTATGGAACAATTTTTTTGTTCATATTACCTAAGGAAGCCAAAGAATATTCAGTCATGAAAATACAAAAAATTTGAGTTGTGTTTTTGCTCCATAGCACTGATCATCAATAATGCCAATAATAATGGTTTTTAATCAGCCACATTTGAATGTAATAGGTAAATTCTCTCTCTTGTGTGCACCTATAAGCATCTTTTTGTGTGCATGCGTATATCACACATACGCATGTATATATAGCACAGTATKATTAAATATGGTAAAATAGGTACTAAATAAATGGTTTTAATTTGAACAAGAATAAGTGTTGGCTTTTTGAGTAGAAGAGAACAACATATAAAGRTTCTGAAATTTTCTAAAATGAAATGAATAATAATAATTCTCTTTAAATGCAAATTTCTCATTTTCCTTCATACCAGGCTGTTCACTGTCTCATGAACAAGCCTGAAAGGTCAAAGTAAAAATCCGGTCATTAATTACTCAAAGGTTAATGTAATAATTTGACATTGCATCACTTGAAAGACACTTCCAGGAGATACTTTAGATAATACTGTGCCCTTTATAAATTTACTCCACTATTTGCTTTGGGTCTGAAATATGAAGCTTACTTACTATAACTATAATTTATCCCTGTCCTGATGGCAGGTGGAGCTCTACACCAAATAYATTTTAAAAAAGGACCTGACAAAAACCACAGTGTAAGTATGTCAAAACCAGAGTGCAAAATGATTAAAGACATTCAGAAGAAAATGGGAGTCAGAAAAGAAAAATCCAACTGAGCGCCTTCAAGTTTTTAATGAAGGATTAATGGAACCAGAGTTCAAAGCTACAAAATATATGGGAGTAGTAGAGAGATTACAAATGGCCAAAATGAAAATCTATGCTCAGATTTGCATATAGAATAGGGACATTTCTAATAAATTACATGGAAAAGTTATTAGAAATAGGAAGTGATTTTGCAAAACTAAACATGAAATTWCATTGGATTGGAGAACTTCTCTAATTTTTTCTAGCATTTTGTCTCAAAATGGATTTTGGGATGGAGCTTATTGACACTGTTCCTAATATTTTTTTTTATTTTTTTTTAATAAGCACAAATAAAATTTATATGTCTATAAAACAATTAAAATGCAGAAGAACTTTTCTTTTGGGTCCTAATCTGGAATCTGGAAAATGCACAGCTTCCTCTTAACAAAACTTTTTTGCCTCAAATACAGAGACCACTCACTGTTATGCATCAATACTTCTCCAAGACTGCTGTTCCTCTACTCATAACACATCCACATTTGAATGGATCCCAAAAGTCAAAGAAGAAAGATTATTCTAAGACAACTGAAATAAAGGGCTTTTCCTCAAGGCCTTTTTGTATGCAGTGGAGAGGTACAGTATCTCCATATTTTGAAAACTTGGGATGAGACCTGAAAGCTAGCAAGCACTAACCAATCCAGGGGATTTTACTTCCCTTGGAATGCTTTAGAAAGGTTCTTTTGAAAAAAGGATAGTATATTTGCTATGCAGAAGGAGTTGCTCCTAGAAGATATCTTTACTCTTGGGGAGGGCTGGGTAGTGAGAGAAATGAAACAAAGCAAAGTATGCCTTGTAGTCATGAAAAAAGCATCAATAGCAACCCATTATTGTGATGTTCCATGCATTTTGGTCAATTCTGACATTGGCTTTTTGTAGAAAACAATAAAAAATATATTTGGCTGACTACTGAAAAACAAGTTTTAAATTTAGACTCTAATATTAGTTCACTGGGAAAAAAAAACAACAAAAGCTGTATCATTTGACTTATTTAAAACTGTTTCTCAAATACAGGAGAGTACTTCAAGGATTATGAACAGAGAATTAGACTACAAGAGACAGAGCATTTTCTCCCCATTACTCAGTACAAAGATTTTATGTAATGATTTATTATTTGCTAAGCACTGTGGTATCTGAAGCCTGAAAAAGTAATCAATACATACATACCGATGTGCACACATACATGCAACCCTTACCTTAGCCAGAGGCTGAGATTTGGTGTTATTCAATTTTTTCTCTTGAAGTTCAAATGCTTTCCTCTCTCCAAAAGACCAACCACCATATCTGCAGTGGAAATTAAAGTAACAAAAAGTWACCTGCCTTAAACTTTGCAGTTTTATTGCAAGGGTAGAGTAGATGTAGCTACCCTAATGTTTTTTTTTCTTTTCAACTGAAAGTAAAACTTCACTCCTCACAAACTCCTGCCCTGTTAAAAAGCAGGGGGCCAATGTAGTCTTTAATCAGGTGAATGTTACTGGCTCCTTTCCATCAAAGGTATTCCTTCAGATTAGAATTATTGCTTTTTGAAAGCTGAAATAGCTGAGCAACAGGAAGGGCTGTGAAAAAAGTGAGAAACATCTTAAACAGCTTCATTTCTTCCTAGTCCATTAATATTCTGGCTCAATCTTTCATCCAAAGATGCTTACCTCTATATCAAATCAGATGCACTTTGTTTCAATACATAAGTGGCTAACACTTTCTTYTTGATAAAATCATACATGGTCTAATATTTCCACTTACATTATCAGCAGAGGCTGAGTTGTAAAGGCATATAAGTAAACCTCAAAATACAGCAGATAACCTCTGTTGCTGATATCACAGAATCTAAAGTATTGCCAGGGGCATACCAGCCCTTTTTACTTCAAAGGAAATATTAATTGGAGCATATCCACATCTATTTGATTGAGTCTCTAAGGAGTGGAAATGATATTGTTCACCTGGTTTAGATATGCATCTCTGAGATGCTGAAATAATTCACTACRTGGAAGGAAATCCAAAGTTTGCCTAGAGGCAATCATCATGCAACTGCTGGAGGAAGTTCTGAGATGTGAACATTGAGGGGGTTTCACATCACCTTGAATCATAGCCTTACTTTACACCTTGATAACAATCACTAGATAAAGACAACTACCCTTTATATTCTCAGTGACAAACGTCTATGCTTTGGATCAGGAAGGACTGTAGGATTTATAAACAAAGGATAAACAAAAACTAGACATTTTAAGGTTACCTTGTTTTGTTGGAAGGCCTCACTAAATAYTCTTCCACWGGGAACCCTGAAAGATTGTACAAAATATGTCCTTYCTTATTCTTCACATAGAGAGCAGAGGTATTGAAACTTGTGCACATCTGAAAAACAGAATACATAAGTAAAGCATTTTAAAAAAACAGTGGCAATGCATATAACCTTTTTTTAATTTTTATGTAGATTTTGCAGCATTTCTTTTTAACTGGATTTTCCTTTCTTAGCTTTAACAGCTTTTCAATAATTTATGCATAGTTTTATGTTTATAAGGCAGCTCAAATGATTGTGCCACCTACATATTAGAAATCTCTTTGATTCCTCTTGCAGCCCTGTCAGTCAGTTTTGTTTTGAAAACAACAAAACTTGTATATAAGTTAGGAATGTTTACAGCAATGAAAAAGGCAAGACTGCTATTTATTTGTTTTTCCTTAGAAGAAATACAAAATAGGCATCAGATAAATATGAGATGAAAGAAAAATTCCAATTAATGCTATACATTTCTAAAAATTTTATTGATGGGCTGCAGAGAAGAATAAAGGAAGGTGTCTTCCAATAATTCAGTGGGACATTCTCACAAAGTAAAGGTGACAGATATTAGACTCAATTATCTCAGAAGCCTTGCAAAGTATTTTATGCCTATCAACTGAAAAATTTTAATGTTTATTTGATGTCTCAACCCCATAGAAATTGAAAATTCACTCTCACAGATTACTTTTACATACATCACAGATACAAGTTCTGCCTCCACTGTCAAGTGACTTCTCTCCTTTCAGTTTTCATGGTTAGTAGGCTTGTAGGCTTCTCCCTGTGTAAGTTTCTATCTGTATTTTATTCAACTGTCTTGTATTTTAAATATAAATCTCATTAGTATGAGAAGCAGACTTATTCCTTTCCCAGAAAAGTAAAAAACTAGTTTCCTATTTTCCCCAAAACTGTATTGCTGTATGTCATATGCAACTCTTACTCTAAATATTTATATCTTTATGATCAAGAGAAACTTTTTTGTAGTATGTTCCCTTTTGGGGAAATAACTTTGTAACCTCAGACATAATTTTACTTTCTTGTTTWCCACTCAACTCAGAGCAAGTCAGCAGGAAAGGTCATTAGTCAAGAAGGTCAGAAATTTATTGTTTTTCAAAATCCTTCATTTCTTGAAGCCTATTTTATTTTCAAATCCAAAGCCCAAAACATAAACTCTAACAAATCTCATTCATGTGTATTCCCTGGTGGGTTTTATCAGCTAGGTTCACCTGCCCTTCCCTTTGAAAGCAGGTAATCTTCCAGATGTTATGGAAGAGTTATGTTTTAACCTTGTTTTACATGGCAGTTTTGCTTAATCAGAGTCCTGTAACATATTTAAAGTAAGTTGCATCTGCTGTAAATAATTCTGCTGTCTCTGATCCTGTTATTTCAGATCAATCTAGAGCCATTTCTAGTGCACATATTTGTGCAAAAAAAAAAAAAAAAAAAAGGAAAAAAAAAAAAAGAAAAGAAAATTGTGTTCAATTTCATTAGATGAAACAGAAGCAAATCTCCAATCATAACAAACCCAGACCTGTGAGGATTTATTTCCTCATCACTTCCACTAGTCCTTCCAAAACAGCAGCCAAGGAATTAGAAGTAATACACAGACAGATATCTTTTATATACATAAGTAAATAAGAAATTACATACCTCCTGTTCAGACACACATCTGCATGAATCCTGGGATGATGTAGATTCTGTCTGCCAGCATGAATTATTTTTTCTAATGGAATAAACATTATATAAGTATAACTATCTAATGAAAAGTATCTATTACTTAACACATGAAATACAGAGAGTAATGGGCAGATCTGGCATGCTGAACACCTTCTTAGCATTTGATCACAGGGCCAGCTGTGTCTAAAGTGATACAAATTTTACTCATTTTTATCAAAATTGGTTTACTAAAAATATTTACCTGGGAATCAAATGAGCTGAATGTCTCATATTTGCAGCAATCATTAAAGCATGGTCACCACTGCATTCCTGAATTTGGAARTCTAGAATGCTTCCTAACAAATATTTTCCTTATTGTCTATTCATCCTTCATATGGACATCAGACTTGATCAAAATCATCTGGAAATTAATCCATGAAACTGCCACTGACTTTTAAGCTGTATGGATAAAACCTTTAACAGTAAAGCCTACCTATGTTCTTTGCCTGGATGCCAGCTCCTTTAAAAGAACACATTTGTCACTAGCCCCAAGCTGCCAAAAAAAAAGCTTAAGATAATCCATTACACAGAAAGAAAAAAAAAKTCAATGTTCAATATTTACAATTAAGGAAATAGTTACACTATTCAAAATTACCCATGTTGCGAATTTGTGCATGAGTGGTCCCAATCAGAGAAATATCCCAGCAGAACTTGAGAAAGGTTTCCTGGGCTGTCATCATCAGCGCTGTTCAAAGTGGACCATGTGGTAAGGAGCAAAGAGGAAAGAAAAATTTTAAAAATGAAATAAATAAAGACATAATAATATGTCTATATCTATTAACCTTCAGGCTCAAAGTCCTGTGTATTTCCAAGAAATTAAAGGACTATAAAGCCATGCATAAGAAACATACCAAAATTACCTCATCTGAAAAAACTCTATGTGGTCATGCAAAGAAAATTCATTACAATTATGACTAAACCAATCWCAACATCTACCAATAGGCATCATTCTCTTTATAAACATGCGCTCCTAGCAGTTAGCAWGCCCCAAGTGCTTTTATGCTTATAAAATGAATTGGTATTATATTTATAAATTCAAACAGCTTCYTGTTATGTTCATCTGTATATTTGCACAGTGGAGAAAGTGATCTGTGTGTGTGATATGCTCTCTCTACAGAATAATTCCATAGATACAATACATTAAAAACAAACTAATAAATAAATAGTCTGGTTGGTTTCAAAGCTGAACATATAGAAAATAAGATGAGTAAGAAGGGCAACAGGCTCTGTGATTACTATGTGGCATTTTCAAAACCAAGAATTATTTAGAGCAAATAGCTTTGGACCRAAGCAATTTGTTAAAATGAAGCATGCAAAGACTTGTTCAAATCCACTTGTGCATTTACATGCAAATGGTCATGGCTAGTATTGATTTGAGTTCAATCTTCTACAAAGTCTTTGCCCTTTCCTCCAGAAAATCCTTTGCACACAGCTTTTCTAATTTTATCTTTCCCTCACAATAATCTATAAAAGCATGCTAAACATCTGAAAAAAATCCCCATGTAACTACTGCAAAAAATAACATTCTTTCTAGAATACAACTAGTTTTTAAAATATGAGAACTCAAGGGTAAAGGTCCCAGAACCCTGGATATTGATGGATGATGATGGATGAGCTCTTTACCTAAAGAATGATTCTGCATTGTCATAAAGTCTTGGTGTCAGCTTGAGAGAAGGGTAATCAATAGCCAGCGGCTTCACACTAAACAAGGCCATCGCCAGTGCAACAAAGAGGACGGGCAGGAGCACATTTGACAGGCTTCCTCTCCAGTCTCGCCTCGTGTGCTGAAACCTCTTCATCAGAAGGGCAACAATCTGCGTGAGAACAAGGCGGGCTCCACGCACAGTTGAGGCCCCGGCAAGTGAAACATCTGAGTGAGACAAAGGAAATAACCTCCTGACAAACAAGGAAAATCAAACTGAACTTTCACGTGCTACATTGTCAAATAGAGAMCATAACAGTCTTTGAGACCTAATAAAACAAAACTACATAAACCTATCATTTCCTCTTGGATGGAATGGTATAGCTCCATACAACATCACTTCCAAGTATAACCAATTAACTAATTAACTCTTCCTATGAGGGAAAACATTTAACATTTCTCTATAGCTTCCCAGGCACAGCTWACGGCTTACTGAATACTTATTTTCCCTAGGTATTCCCTATGGTCCTGAACTGGTACAACCATTCCTAGTGCATTGCCACCTTTGCTCCTGGACAAATGACCCTGGCTTGTATTAGCGTTATGGTCTTGATCCACCTTGACTGGAATCAGTGGCAACGTTTCCACAGAAATTTCAAAGGATCATCTTCACAGCATGTAACAGAGCATCACTGTTGCTAGACATATGAGTTCTCATAAAAGCATTCCCTTCATTTCTCTGCTCTTATGAGACTGATAAAAATTTGTATTTGTTAGTCAATTCAGTTTTCATAGCTCGAGGGCTGCCCTTCAGATTAACACAGAAGTGTGTCCACAGCTTTTAACATCTCACCAATCAGTTTCCTGATAGACTCCCCCTAAATTTTATTTTATTGTTCTTTGTTAGACACTTGTGAATCCCACCAATCACTTTTCCTCCCTTTTAGCTCCTAATGCCTTCTAGACATGTTCAGGTTCTTGTCAAATTCTCTTGCCTTTGGCCTTTTCSAGCTGAATGTCCTTCAACCTCTTTCCTTCCTCACAGCATAGCAGTGTCTGGCARATTTACTACCAGAGATATCTGCACTGTAGCAAGACTGAATAGCCTKTTTATCACAGTCAGTGCTATATTTTATGAAGCCCTGTGATTTGCCTCTTACTACCTTCCTTTCTATASATTGAGATCACTCGAATCAGAGTTTCARTGTTCCATGTTTAAACTAYGTGTATGAAAATTCTCAAGTAACCKCAAATAATTTGTAGTTCTCCTAATTATTTTTTCTTTAGTTACCTAAATTTTAATCCCAGACCCTTTACTTTGTTCTAACAGAGCAGTTTTAGCCAAGAAGTGAGTCAAACAGGAAGAAAAATTAATCAGAAAGTAAGCCAAGTTTCTGACTATGGCCATTGAGCAAAACAGCTCAAATTCTGCACTCATTACCCCAGGTAAATACCCCAGGTTAATCACCCTCAGTCTCTGGGAAAGTCACATATTACATATCAAATTCTCCAGAAAACAACACCCAGGATAAGGAAAACCAAAAATGAGTGGRAGCCAATGGCTGGACAGGCACCAGCCTGCAGGCTGGGAGCAACAATACCAAATCCAACTTAGGGACAGTTGGTTGGAAGGAGCCTCCCTCATGGGTAACAATGAGGAAAACACTAACCAGCAACTCTTTCTAACATAGACATGTGCATGTACCTGTGCCTGWAGGGGATCTACCCTGTTTGGAGCCATCATTATGTCAGGCAATGGGAACAAAGAAAACATCAGGAGGAGCAACTCTCTAGCAGCACCTAAGGACCCTAGTGGCATCAGGGAGCAAAATCTCTGCTCAGGGAAAGGACAAGCTGCAACAAGCACCAGYTGGTACTCTGAAATTCTGATATCATATATCAGGAAAAAAAAATTTCACTGTGAAGGAGACAACAAAAATTCAAAAGCAGACTGGACATGGGACTGAGTAACCTGCTCTTGACCTGCATTTTCAACATTCATATTCCCTGATTTTAACAGACTATAACTAACRGTAATTAATTTTGAGTTTATTTTGGTGGAAGGGCAAGGAGGGAAGTTCCGGTATTTATTCCTTTAATTCCATAATCAAAGGTTCTTTCTTTTTAACCCAGAACAGAAATTCTCCCTTTTTAACCAGTTCTATTCACAGCCAGAGCATGCCAATTTGACAGCTAACACAATGGCATTTAAGGGTTTGAATATCTGTGAGGAAAAAAAGTAAGTTCAGAATTCAGATTCTGGTCCGGTCCAGCATTCAAATGTCCTGATCAAGAAGGATTACATTTTAGATTTGAAATTGTTCGTCCTGTAAATTACAGGAGGAGGAGGAGAAGACACTCTTGTTAAGAACTTTTTTAAAGCAAACTTCTTATGAATCTATTATGTTCTTCATATTATCATGGTAAGACTTCCAATAGTTATCACAATACAGAAATTGAGACACACAGAGGCAGAAAAATTTTCAAGTTATGTGTTTTTAGAATAAAATACATGCAGCAAGTGCTTCCAGCTCAGCATCCCTGAAATTGTAAAGTGTACCATCTCTCATTATCCAAGTAGCAAAATGASAGAAGAGAAGCATTAGATGCTTTCTGTAATCCCAGACCTGTTTATATAGCATAAGCATGAAATGTGAATGAAAGAAGCTTTAAAMTATTTGAACCTTTGAATCTCTGAAAGGCAACTACGACATCCGATTTCTGGGGCCAGAAAGSGAAATTAGAGCTGCCATTCATTCTTTTTTCCTGACAAATAGAGCAGAGAAAAATTATAACAAATTAATGCCAATTGCCAAAGGAAGGGAAATTGTCACCATGAATATAAATAATTGTCCATTTTGTCCAATATCCTGACTCTTACTCAATATTCATAATGTCAATGAGCCAAGACACATCCCAGAAAGATGCAATAAACCATTATAGTGGAAGTATATATTTGACTGCTTGACTCAGGAACTTCTTTCTTCAAAGTGATTTATCTTTTCTAAAACCTCATACACTTATTATTTAAAATTCTAATTGAAAAGTGTGACAAATATCTTTCTTAATTATCTTACATTTCCATCTTTCTGACCTAGAATTCTGTCATTTCTTTGAGTTTCAGATACAAAACAAAATTCTTATTTATCTTTTTTGAATTTATTGTATTTGATGATGCTGGATGGGCTCTTAAATCTTGCTTTAGGAGACAGGTTATAGAATTTTTCAATCCGTCTTCTGCATAAATAATCTCAACCTTTCAGTCTCCTCTCATAAAAATCTTTATAGTCCTAATCAACCTCAACACTTATCTAAAGTTCTCTTATATTAACACTGTATCAGTCTCAAGATATATTGTGTTCAATGCAGCTGTCTAACAGATATGGAAACTCTTCTGATTCATACAATTATGCATTCTTGTACTGATCCACTTGTTTTCTTTATGCATCATCTGACTGCAGCCACACTGTGAAAAGTAGCCTGCACTGGGCTTTCCATAATTGAYTCAATATGGCTTTCAAGATTCCCAAGGTATTAAATCACTCTTTCAACTAGAACCTACAGAATTAATTTTTGCTTCATAAAACTTGYAAGTAATTCACCACCCACATTTGGTATGTATGTCAGGATGCATAAAAACAGCACACATTTACAGGTAAACAGCTTCTGATTATCACTGAGARTCACAAAGGCTAAAAGACAAGACCAGCTGACCCCTCTGTTACAAAGTCAATTTTTATATAGAAAGCTTGTGAAAATATCCTCATCAATAATTTAGATCACAGAATTAAAAACCTGACCCAACTGTTAGAAGCTGTCTTGCTTGACTYACGATTGCAATTATCCACCAGAAGTGCAATTATGTTCACAATTAACTTGTATTTCCCTATTCATCCAGCCTCTCCTTTATAATATGGACAAGATTTTTGCWGGTTTCCAATACATATAGGCTAATATAGGTACAGGGAAACAGTACAAGTCCTARAATCTAGAAACTAAGATTTTCAAAATCCTTACCTATATACTTCTSTAGAATTAGGAGCAGAAACCATTATTGTAAAAACATCTAACTTGGTATTAGATGGTCTTTTTCTCCTCTGTTTTGCACTTCTAGAAAACCATGTAATTCTAATATTTTTTCATAGTGCATATGAAGTATGGGCTGTGCAACGGATACACTAACAGCTAGGAGTACAAATTTTCAATTCTACTTCTGTCACTTTGGCATTTAGACAAGCAATTTAGAGGCAGCCCAGATTTTGGGAAGATAATTCTGAACTGAAATATCCTGGCAAAACAGCTGAGCAAGCTCATATGAAACTAGTTGCATTCAGAGGCAGTACATATTTATTGGCTTATGAGAAGATTTGTGCCAACGAGTAGTTCTAAGCTGAGCAAGTGAAYTGACATCACTCTGCATTTCAGCACATGCCATACTGGCCGAGAGGCAATGCTGGCCCMCCAATCTGTGCACAGCATTCCATTAGAAAATATAAAAATGTCCTTCCTCTTCTTGCACATCTTTAGTGTATTATTAATTTTGTTTCCAGGAGGATTTTGAAGACTGATTTTTATGTGGGGAATCTGAATAAAAGGCTCTTTGATGATGTAAAGGGAATGCATCTGGCCTGTGTTTCATACTATGATTCTTCCTTATATGTAATAGGGTAATGAGCCTCTTTTAGCCAGATGTGGTTAGAAAAATATTTACTTCAGGGGAAATTTCACAAGAGAAGTTTCTCTCTGGCATTTTTACGTATAAATCATCCTATTCCTCCCCTCAGAGTATTTTTAACTTTAGGCATTGTGAACATTTCTTCTAAAAAGTTGATTCATATGGTTTCCATCTTGACAGTTTCCTATCTTACAGTTTATCTACTCTATACATGTTGATTAATCCARTTAAGTATCATTTTTAAGGGAAAAGCTGTGGGATTTTAATTAAAAATTTAGCTTTACGTTCTGAGCCCCAGATCTCAAAATGGAATTCTGCATGGGTCTGAAGAATTTTGAGAGAGAGTAATAGAGATCTAGGTAACTAGTTCATCAGTAGAATTAACATATTTTAAAGCCAAAGCATTGGTGTTAGTCACTCCCCAACCTTATAAACTCCGTTCACAACTCAACGTCTCCCAAGTCCTTTTCCTCAAGCCAAATAGTTGACTGATGAGATTATTTTCTTCCTTTATTCTAAGATATTATTCTTGTTCAAGATCTGACACATTTAA